GTTCTTTTTCATATGTGTTAAGTTGGCCCCTCTCTCTCATTCATTAGGAAAAGTCACCTCAAAAAAAAAAATCTGATTATGATCACAATGTAATCCTCAAAATAACTTAAATTCCTCTGGTATTAATTGAACAGGATTTTAAGAAGATTAAAAATATTTTCCATCAGGGATGAACTGTACTTAATCTTTTATTGCAAAATCTCATGTTCCTTAATGTCAGGTTAGAAGGATGTGGAAAAAAAAGCCTAATGACTAATCTAAGTAAGCTTATTTTCCTGAAATTTGCCACTGTGGGAGTATAACATGCAGATATCGGAAGAATTGTTAATCACTGTTTATCTGTGTCTTTGCCGAGTGGGGTTCAATCAGCTGTTGGTTAAAATCTATATGCTATCCTAACTCCCACTGTACTTTACATCAGGATTATCACAACTGAAGCTTTCTGCAAACACAAGGCCAGGAGTGTTTTTCTCCCAAATACACAGATTTACAGACTAATCACTAACAAAATGTGTTGGGCAAACTTAGAGTCACCCATTTCCTTTGTGGTTTGGAAGAATCCTCTCATTCTAACCACTTACCCTCTTTTCATCTCATCCTAGAGGTACAATCAGACTTGGTAGCAAGATCTGGGAGATTTAGGTGTATTAATTCTTCAGGCTATGCAGATGCCAAAAGGCAAGAGAGCTTTTCTTATAGATACTTTGCATGTTTGATGGTCAGAGATGCCAAGAAATGGTTTTATGAGCAGATATTACACACAATGAGCCTCAGTGAGCCATACTTGAACATAGCACTTTTCAAAGGTTTGTGATTTGGGGGACAATAGGAAAAAACTAAGGAAGAATGGAAGAATGATGTCTCTTGTTTTATAAATCCCAAGGTCCCTTGTGTGGGCCAAAACTTACACTGGATTATTTCCTATGAGCCACTACAAAAAAACCAAATTGAATTTAAATTACCTATTTGTCCAAACACTTAAACCCCCTTGAACTGAATGAAAAGCAAAAGGTAAACATTTCAGAGCTCACAGATGCCCTGAGCCTGTATTCTACCAAATGTAGGAAAGGGAGTGAATTGCAAATTGAGAATAATACAGAAACAAAGCATAAAAATCCTGTAATCACTCACACAGATAAGTGATCGCATAAAGCTAGATTCTAACTGAAACAATATGAAAAAACCTCTTCAAATTCAGTGCTAAGTAGGAAAAGATTAGCAATCCATTTTAAAAATCAATGCTTTCAGTTCTTCCTATGTATCTACTAATTGTTTTTGAATAAGGGGGACAGAGACAAGAGGAGATGAGCAGGAATGTTGTTAGGGCAACCAGAAACAAAGTAGGAGCTAGAGATAAAGGTTAGAGAGAATGGTGGAAACTGGGAGGGAGTGAGAAGTCACAGCTCATAGAGGAGAGAGATGTGCCCAACCCAAGAAAGGGAATGTTGTGGGAAAAGGGCCTGCAATATGGAAATATCACATAAGAGAAACACACCCATTTGAATAAATGGAAAATTTACCAGAAATGAGTAACTTCTGCATTTTCCACATAGCACTGACCATAACTTGTACACAGAAGAACTTCTTAGGTGACCACCATCAGTGCTAACTGCCTCGAGGGGTCTTCTCCAAGTCCTTGAATACCTAAGAGCTCTTGGGTTTTTCAGTTTGAGCTCAGGGTGTAGAGAATCCAGTCACAAGCTCGTAAGAGAAATCAGTGTGTACATCTTTATAAGATACATTTTTTTTTTTCTTTTAATACAATTGTGTATGCAACAGAGACAGAAGCCAATCTTCTAGCAACATCCTAAGAAATATTGTTATGAACTTCAGAGCAGGAAGTAAGTAATCTTTCATCAGGTACACCTTCTGACAAGGATATATTAATGCTTAAATTTCCATGAAAGGATGTTAAAAGGCTTGTGGGAAAACTAGAGTTGTTATCCACAGATAAAAATAATAGTAGCAAAAATGGTAGCATGTCTTTCCAAGGTCAGTGAATCAGTGAAATAGCAATTTCTTGTAAGGCCCATGTATTACTCATAAAATATACTTGTCTTTTTCTGCCTGGAGAATTCTTTTCCTCCTCCCAATTAATTTTTTCTCCCTATTTTTCTCTCTTTTTCTTTGGTTTATTTTTCCTCACTTAACCTCCTTCTCTGATGCTAAAAGAAGGACAAAAGGTGAAAACCTACAGGAACCAGCATAGTCCGACTCTTGTCTTTTACTGTCCAGCACTGCCTTTTAATTTGTGGGAGAGAACAGCAGGGGAGATCATTTCATGCTGTATATATTGCTGACATGTGGAATAAGGAAAAACAGTTGCACTCCTGACTTCCTTTGAGAGTGGCTCCCTCAGCCTGGAAACAATTCCCTTAATGAAGCGCCATGCAGCACCAGGGTAGCCTAGCAGCCTTTGTTGTGATATTCAAATCTTGTATGCATGGCAGTATTTTATACCAGCTCTACTCCTAATCTTGCTACATTTATAGGTGTGTTGAATTTTTAGGTTTTAAAGCATCACAGCAAAACACAGCTCAGTCTTTCTCATTTATTTGCAAAAGTCCCATTTTTGTCACAACTGTCTTATTTTAAATGTAAATGTCCCAGATTTGGGTTTTTTAACTAAAGGACAAGGTATAATGTAGAAGATACAACAATTAAAACTGTAAAATACACTTTCATGTCTCTGAATGTTTGTTTATTCTTTCAGCTGTTCTCACTTTAAATTCTCCAAATCAAGATATGAAGCACATGAAAGGCTTGGGCTATTCTGCCTTTCACATCATTAAAACATAGTGCTGTTCTCAGGATAAGCTTTGTTGCTGTCTGATAAATATTCATAAAATGAATGCAATTCAGCAGAGTTCTATAATCTCACAAAATAAGTGCTTTTAAAAAAATCCTATCAGCTCTGCTAAAATTGCCTTTTTTTTTATACTGTTTTCTCAGCTAAAAAAAAAGCCAAAAAAGAGAGTAAGAGTTAAGCATTATATTGTTGCATATTACACACACAGAATTATTAGAAACTTTTCTAGGATTGTGTGTTTTTATTCTATGTGATAAGAGTAATGTTGCAGAAACTGATAGGTGTTGAAGCAACACCAAAAAATTAAGGAGCAGTGTAGAGTCCCATAAGGACAGCAAGTCTGCTGTGCCTCAGGGAGTCTTACATGATGTGAAGGGCTGTTTGGTTTAGGTGGGATGGGTATAATTTGCATAAAGCAAAATACAAATATTTGAATTCAACTAAAACATAAGGTAGACATTGTCAAGATGCTCTTCCTTGAAGTCTTTATTTCAAAGCACTGAGAAAACATAAACCATGAGAGTAACTGTTGTCATTATATTACAAAGGTTCTCTTGTCATTACATTCAAGGGTTCCACATTGCTAGAGTTTCATACCTCCTTGATGTTTCTCATAGGTAGCTCTTCTAAGTACTGACTCTTCCTTGTCCTCCCAGCAGCCAACTGACTCCAGGTCCCACCAATCCACTCTTTTATAACACTCTTCTTATTGGCTACAGGTGTGGCCTGTTAAAATCAGGCCTGCTCCTAATCTTTAATAATTGGCTCAGCTGCAACTTTAGGGGGGTAAGATAACATTTTATACTACCTTTGTTTACTTATATTCTGTCTCCCTACAAGTAACTAATGATAGTAGTGAGCCTGACATTGAGTCTCAGGGTGACTTAGCCTGTGCATGTTTGATCACTTTGAAAACCAGTTTTCCCTCTGGTGTGGTTCTCTCAGCATACACTTGTCTGAATATCAGCTCCTGCTGTCATCAGATCAACGATTTTTGTCAGGCTGCACCTTTGTACCTGCATTGATTATGAGTTTGGCATTTGAATGACTCTTTTTTTTCAAACCTGTTTAATACCAGAGATATTCTAAGGGCAAAATGCATTTGCAGACAGGATGAAATAAAGGAACAGGAGAGCAGGTTGTAGTGCTGTTCACTAAATGACCACAGCAGTACACTTGACACAAGCATTACTATTGGTGCTTCTCCTCCAGTTCAGTAAGAGCAGAAAAAAGAATATTTTGAGTTGGAGTATTTTGGGGAGTGGTCATTAATGTGCTATTTTCCAGCTCTCTTGACCAGACCAGAAATTTTGTCTCCAAGGTCAGCCCAGACCCACAGCTGTTTTCAAGTTAGCCTGCCTACTCAAGAGTCTTTTGGGAACCCTAGGAAGATTCTTTGAGTTGAAATAGGACTTTTACTTCACATTGATGGCTGTTCAGTCTAAACTATGTTCTGACCCCCATCAAGTATGGCCTGGTAAGCCAAATACAGGTAACTGCCTCCCCGGGCATTTTTGGTTTTCTCCCACAGAGGCCAGATGAAACGTGTTACCCTGTTTTCCTCCCTGTTTCACACACCAGCTGGGATTTGCCTCCCCAGCTGATGGGGAAATTGCTGAGGGGAGGTTCCTGGGCTGACTCAGCGCTTCAAAGCACGGTTCCGAGGGGTGGTACTGATACCTCCTCAGAGCTACCTCCGCGGGGAGCCAGCCAGGACCATCCACCCCGGTGTCGGGGTACCCGGGGAAGGGAGCGCAGAGCAGCCGGGCCGCCCGACACCCGCCGGGACAGCGGCACAAGCGGCCGGGGCTCCGGGTACTGAGCGGCCGCGAGCCGCCCGCTCCGGGAGGCGCGGGGGGACCGGCAGCGCCAGGGCCTTGAGGCGGGGGGGGTGCCGGGACAGAAGCACGCCCGGCCGCCCCGTCGCAGCGATCCCGTGAAAGTACTAGGGGGCTGCGGGGAGAGGGATTTGAGAAAGGGGAGATTTCTCCGCGGAAGGGGAGCTGAGGCGTGTGAGGGAAGGGTCCCTCCATCGTGCTGAGCGCTGCACTCACGCCGCCGCCAGGTTGCGCCTCCCCCGCCCGTTGCAGGCCCGTCCCCCGCGGGCGCGCGTCAGCTGGGCGCGAGGCGGAGCTGAGGAGCGCGACGCGTGCCGGGAACGTGCCGGGGGCCGAGGCGGCTGCGAGGACCGATGGATCCCGAGGGCGCGGTGAGGAGCCCGGCGGGGCCGCGGGGCCCGGCGGCCGCCCCGGAGGGCGGGAGGGCGGGCGGGCAGGCAGCGGGGCCGTCCCGCTGGGGCGCCCCGGCTCGCGGCCGCCCGCGCGGGGCCGCCATTTTGTCAGTGGCGGCCTCAGGCTGTGGAGAAGGCGCTGGCGGCCCCGGTGTGCGGGACACGGTGCCGGGGCAACGGGGTCTGGCTCGGACCTTACAGCGCACGGGCTGCGGAAAGCAGAGGTGTTTAGGGAGGGAAGTGCGCTTAATCACCAGGCCTTCGTGGAGTTAGCTTGTCTGACTGGGGGTGTGCTCAGTGTAAAGTGAATGTTGCGATTCTGCTAACGAACAGTTGCCAGACGCACTAAGTAATCGATAAAAATAGTGATGGATGTAAATATCCGTATTAATTGGGGAAATTGATAAAAAGGAAGTTTACAAAACAGTAGAAACAAATATTTAGGCAAGTGATGTGCTGATGGCACATATTTGGTCTTTTTAATACTGTTTTCTTATTGCCACGCTGATGATGAAGAAGTGGTTATTGCAATACAGATTTTAACATGTGATACTTTAAACTCACTGGGATTTACCGTATCTACTATTGTGAGTTCATAAGTGGTGTGTTTAATTCCTCATTTCTTCCGTTGGGGTATTTGTGTTTGTGGCTTATTTTAACGTGTCAGCTCTTAAAATGTATACAGAGAAAATGCAGTTTGGGCTCTTGGAGGTAAGGAATACATTTTGGCTGTGCTGTCAACTGTTTATTGTTATAGTTGAATCCAGAAGTTTTCGTGCTGTACACAGTTGCCAGATGACGTACACTAGAAATTGCTGTGAGAGATGGAGACTGTAACCTGTTTTGTCTCTCAGGAGTTTTTGGCTGTAAAAACAAATCCTCTTGGGGACTGTAGTGACTGTGTTAGTTCCGTGCCTCCTAGAGGTGGGGTTTGTTCAGGTTAGTACTCTAGAGTAGTATTCCCAGTAGGAGATGCATACTGGATTCTCTTGAACAGATCAGGTTAACAGCCCCAGGTTTTCCTCTTCCCCAGGTGTGTGTGTGTTTTAGTATGCTCGGAAAGGACTTGTGTCTTCTCTAAAACTGAAATTGCATGAACATAGCTGCATTTATTGTCTTTAAGATATCCACAATAATATCATTAACCCATTACGTAGAATTAGTAGGAGTAACTCTTAAGTAGCTAAAAAAGTGTGAAATAATCCTGTTGGAGAAATCAGTGACAATACTTCATAGCTGCTTTCCAGCTATCATCTTCACAGTTAGGGTTGACTTTGTAAGGCAGCATTATTTTGTTTTGAAAAGAGTTTACAGTTAAATTGTTTTGCAGTTCACAAGTGTAAGCATGCTGGAACTTAAAACATCAGGCAGGCTTCACTAAATAATGGTTTCCATGACATCCCATTGTGTTATGCTCTTTTACTGGGGCAAGAGCAATCTGGTTGTTCTTCTGCAGAGGGAATTTCTGTTCTGACCACTGTGTTGTGTTTGTAGGCTGAGAGGGTGTTGAATTAAAATACCGGTCTTCAGGACCTGTTCTCATCCAGTGTGTGGAGCTCATTTATTTCCTGTGGTGTAATTATGGGTGCTCAGCACTTGGAAAATTAATCAGAGGCTGTTGCAGAGAGTAGAGTTGTGTAGATGTTTGTGAGAGCACAGATGGAGTTTAAAATTTCCATTCTGTATAGGTTGAAAATAAGGGCTTCTAGAAGAGAGAAGATATGTTTTATAATAGAATTCATAACCTGAAATTTATGCAGCAGGGTGCTTTGCAAGTTGAACCAAGATTGGTGTTTTGTTTGGAAGTGTTTAACATTGGCCTTCAAACCATGGTGTATTCACCAAGTTACTTAATTGATTAAGATTGAGCTTGTGTTTAAACACTGAGCCACATTCTGAATAAAAATACATGGTTAATGTTCAACATCTGCTGTGCCTTCTGAAAAATTCCGTATGTATTGTCTGTTAAGAGTTGTTTCATTTACTGATAAGTAATGAATAAGATTTTGAAAATGTTTTCTTTCAATCAGCAGGCCACTGATCAGATGCAAACAGAATCTTTACCTTCATGTCCCAACACTGTGTCACCAGTGAGGTTAAACAATCTGATCGGCTCTCCAAGGTTCGGAACAGTCACTCCAAATCGTGTCTTTGTTGGAGGAATTGATTTTAAGGTATTCTTCCCTCTTTTTGCTGCTAAATTATAATTTATAACAGTATAAAAATCAACAAGGAAAAAAGAGACACAATCATGTGTATTTGTTTTGCTGGTAAGTCCTCTTCACTTTAATAGCCAAACCTACAGTAGAGAATAAAGCTTTAAGCCTTGATTTCCTTAACAGTCCTACAAAGTTGGCTCTGTACACCTAGCTGCTAGAAGCTTTTCACACACTACTTCTTCAGAGTTTTCTCTTTTCAAAAAAAATAGCTTTGTTATCAGCAGAGCTGATGGTAGAAAAACATGTAGAACGTTTTGTTTATATATACCACTTAGTGTAATTTAATAAACTGTCACAATGTTTCATATGGCCAGTGGAGCAAACCTCCGTGGCTTTTGTTTCTCTAACACTTCTGGTTCACACAAACAATTACAGTGTGTGTGTGTTCCTTGCCATAGTAATTTTCTTAAAGGCAAGAGTTTGTTTTTAAAATTGTGTAAGCTTCTCTGGGTAATTTGCAGTATTGATCTTAATTCCTAGAATGCTTGTGCCTTTGTGTGTTCCCTAAAATCTTTAAATAGCAGTGAACATTGGGCCACTCTTACCTTGTTCAGTTGCTTTTAACATTTGTGATAAGCTTAAGCTTTTTTCTCTCTTCCCACTTTAGATAATTAAGCCATTGACTTTTGGTGCTTAGCTTGCTTAGCTGTTGCTTTGTTCCCACCTAGAGTATTTTCTCTGCATCAATCCTCCTAGGCTGAGACCTTCTGAGTACTGGCTCATTTGAAGAGGAACAAGAATTGACAATTCACCGAGAGTATTTTACATAACAAGTGCAAGAAATTCCAGAATCTTCTATTTTATTTGGCAGGGGTAATTCAAATAGAGGTGTTCATATTCTAAGATGTACAGGGCCTTCAGTACAATTAGACTTCATTAAGTGGCAAGTAGCTTTTTGCACCAATAGTAAGCAAATTTCTGGAGCCATAAAAAGACCTCTCTTGCTCTCTTCTGTCTTCACTGCTATTTCAAAGGTTAAAATACTTTTCTGTCTAACATCAACATTTTTATTAATTATCATACTTATTGTTCATTTTGAAGGGTCTCTTGACTTGGTTCAGTTGCTGATACTTCAAAATTTATTATGAAATTGTATTTTTGACAGCAGTTTAAGCATGTTTGTAATCATAAAGAGGATGGATTTTTTTGCACAGGGGTGAGGAAATAGAAGGGATGAAACCTCATTAGCCATTTTAGTTGCTTTTCCATTTGGTATGACTCTTTATATCAAACACAGCCTTAAATTTCTGATCTAATCCTCATAGGGTTTACATGTCAGTCTTGAATTGCTTTCTATTGGCAATCTCATGGCAAAAAGTATTGGGGTTTTTGGCATTTTTTTTAAGCCAAAGGTCTTATTCAAGTCACTTGGGGTGATGCAAAAGCTGTTGACTTCATTTTTGTGGGAGAGGGAGACAGTTAATCAACAAAAACTTACTTGCTTTCTAACAAGTTCTTTTATGATTTTACCATTTTGTCTATCACTATGGCAGTGATTCCTGTTTGCAAGAGGAAACACCTGGTCTCTCAAATTTAGAGAAACAATTCAGCAAGGGAAGTTAGAGTTGGGAACATTTTCATCTTGGTCTGATGATGCACCTTTAGTGGTGCAGGCCACGTGTTACTGACAAAGGCTAATCCTAAGCCTTTACCCTCCTTAAAGTATCTGACAAGGGCCTTTGTATTACCATAAGCAGGAAAAGGCAAGTCCCGAATGTGTTTCTACTAAGTTTCTAAATACTGTGTTTGCACAGATGCTTGCAGATTTCACTGTGCATCTTAGAACAGCATTTCCTTCTCATTCTGCATTAATGCAGTGCTCTGCATGTAAACCTTTGTCTTTCCAAATTCATAGTTTGTGTAGCAAGCCCTTATGTCCTTGGGTAGTACTTTGAGCACTACTCAATTTCAGACTTGGATGAGGAACATAAGCCTTTGATGTGCTGGAGAGGATTCCCTAAATTGTATACAAACAAAGTCATTTACTTAGAAGTAAAACAGTACTTGGTATACTTGAAGTTAAGGAGGAGTAAAGATGAGTGGTGTGTGCATGTAACTGTGCTTCTCCCAGTGGGAGGTGTAGCATTAACTAAGGGCTTAAAACTCAGAAGTGATGCTTACTGCAGCATATGTGATCTGTGCTTACATTGTAATAAAATATTCACAGAAGGCAGAGGAGTGTTCACAAAGCTCAGGTGAGTCTTTGCATTAGAAAGTTGTCTTATTCCCTGCATTCTTTGGAAGGGGGCAGTTCCTTCCAAGTTGACTTGGACCACTGTCCATTGGAATAACATTTTCTTTCTTACAGTGGGGAGTTTGTATAGTGTGCCTGTAGGTATTTGCAGACTGTCATGTTAAAACCACTTCAGAAGGAGGGATCATGGTGTACTCAATGGATTTGACCACTAAGTCACTGTGGTTTAGGGGGATCTATGTGACCTGTGTATATCAGTATGCTCTGTTGTATTGCAGTTGAAAGTATGGCAGTGATTTTTTGTACTGTAAACTGCTCTAGTGTGTAATTAGCAGAAAATAAAGTTTGGATCTAGTACACCTGCTTCATTGATCTTAACTGTAAAAGGACAGTTGTTACATAAATCTACTAATGAGAAGTTTCTAGAATTACTGCTGAATAATTAATGCAGTAGTTAAGTGGGCCCTGAGGCTCATACTTTATCCTTCTTCTGTCTTCATAAGCAGGGTTGTAATTAGTTTGTAGCAAACTTCATCCAAAGTACATCCATTAATAGTCTTTAGGTAAACATTGAACTAATTAATTGAATAACTATGCAAACCAACTTTTCCTTTTTTTTTCCCCTCTTGATTTACTGTACTAGACTAATGAAAATGACCTGAAGAAGTTTTTTGCTCAGTATGGCAGTGTGACAGAAGTGAAGATAATAAATGACAGAGCTGGAGTATCAAAGGGGTTGGTATAGTAGAATAAGTGTGTTGTGGGAATTGAAAATAACAGAAAGCTGACCATAGTAAATTTGGTTTTTATAGTTCACAATATTTTATCACTGATGTTTCAGTTATTCCATGTGTGTGAAAATCTGTTCTTGCCCTTTAATATCTCTATGTAAGTGTCTCCAATTTGCATAACTAGAACTCTTAGTCATGTTATAAGATGAAGCTGTGTGTGGCTAGGGCAGAATTAATAGTTTCCATTTTTTTCAGATTTTCTTAGTGACTATTACTTAAGTAGATGATCCTAGCAAGGTTATCTAGTTATTAAATATATTTTTATTACTGAAAGCCAGTGTGGAAAGGAGCCTGAAGTGGAGGAAGAGCTGAGGTACACCTGATTGTGGTGGAGTGCATGGCAGCAACAGATTTTTGTGTGAAGATTTTTGGAACAGCAGCATAGGGGACAAATCTGATATTAAATTGTGATTACTTACAGTGGAGACTGAGACTGGAAGTAACCAGTAGGAGAAATGACAAAGAACAAGTACAGAGAAATATTAAGATTGCATGGTAGAATTATTGCTGCAACCCAAAGGATGGCGATGTCAATAAGGTGGGGAAGTGCACTGCCAGAGAAGGGAGGAAAGAGGGCTGAAGCTAAAAGGAATGTGCATGAGAGTTCACCTCAAAAGTTCTCTCCTGAGGAGTAAGGACAGTTTAATGCTGTCAGCTTAACACGTGTCAGCAAGTTTTATGTGCTGAGCTGCAGCTCTTAGCACAGAGAGTACTCTTGCATGGCTTCAGAGACTTGGTCCCAGATTTGTCTCCAAGCCTCTTGCCCTTTTAGGAAATTCCAAGAAGTATCTGAGAATTGAATGTGTGTCCATATAGCCCATAATAATTATGCAGTTGTGGTTACCAACCCAGATTTGTCTCCAAGCCTCTTGCCCTTTTAGGAAATTCCAAGAAGTATCTGAGAATTGAATGTGTGTCCATATAGCCCATAATAATTATGCAGTTGTGGTTACCAACATATGTCTCACAGCAGATCTGGTGGAAAATAATTACTTTCCATGCTGTTAGGATTTCTGTTGAACTCCAAGCACAGGCTTTGTTGCTTCTGTGTGACAAATGATTTTAAAAACTTAAAAGTTTGTGATTACATCTATTAGTTTATTGTCCAGACAGTCTACAGAATGAAAAATCTGCGTAGGTAAAGTCCCATGCAGGAGAATACTTTGTCTTCTTTGAACTTGGAAATGTTTCCAGTTAAGAGATGCAAAGTACAGTTAAGAGTTAAGAGAATACAAGTTAATACAGTTAATACAGTTAAGAGAATACAAAGTACAGCTAGTCAGATTTATTGAAGTTCTTTATTAAAATTAGCATACAAATGCTCACAAAGGATGAAAACCGTGTATTGCAAAATCTGATCTGCTGGAAGGAGAGGTAGAAGCTCGTACCTTCTGTATTGTGACCCTGAGAAATGAACCATGACCCTAACAAACCATGTGCACAAAAATACACATTTCACGGATTTCAAAAATAATTGAAATTTAGGAAGTCAGATTTATTGGATAAATAAATATTTATTTATTATGTATGTGTTGTATACATTCAGATACTTACTTTGCACTGGCAATGCCACCAAGATTACTCTGGGAATGAATTGAGGGGGTTGAAAAAGCAGGAGTTCTGAGTGGAAAGCCTGCTTGATTTATTGCAGCAGTTAAAAGGGGTATTGTGGAAGACATGCTATGTCACAAGGTATGAGAATTGCTTCATCCTTGATCTCCACAGAACTCTTTTTAATGCTAATCCTGTTAAGAATTACAGGAAAACTCACAGATAATGACTGCATCACTGCTTTTTTGAGAACTCAGTTTAAAATAGTGGATTGTTTGTGGCAGTGGGGAGCATTCAGAACAGTTGTTGCTGAAGTAGGTGGGAGCTGTACTATGAATTACAATATAATATTAACTTGGAAAAAATCCCAAGTGTCTCACCTTGGTCACCTCAAGAAGTGAAAGGTTTAGATCAAAATCTTTGTTTAATAGCAATGAAGGAATTTAAGGCATAGGCTGAGTAACAAGAACAGCTGATCATTCTTGGTAGTATATTGTCACATACTTGAATGTAATTAAAAAGGTGCTAAGAATGCAGTTGTTAATTCAATCTTTACTTCTAGGGTTGTTTTTTTACCCATTAATTTACCTTGTAATGCCACTTGTAGTGTACATCAAGTAAGTGTGTGCTGTGTTTGTAAATACACACTTGAGAGGCTTAGCTCCTGTCATCTTTGTTTAGGTATGGCTTTGTTACATTTGAAACCCAAGAAGAGGCACAGAAGATTTTACAAGATGTAAGTGACAGTCCCCATTATGTTTGTCTCTTAAATGAATTAATTGATTTTGTACTAGGCCTGAGTACTCTGGTCCTCTCTTTGCCAAGTTGCATTTGAAGACAAGTTTGGTCTGATAGTTAAAATAGTTTAAAGAGATCTAATATAAGATTTTTCTTATATGAAATTCTAATCATCCTCTGTTTTTTTTTTTTCTTTTCTCCTACTTTTCTATTTTGAGTAAGGTCTCCAGAACTTCCTTTTATGTTGCAATCTACTAACTATGTGTTAGTATTAGAAACAGACCCTGAGGAATTTGACCAGGTTCCAGACACATATCCTAGGATCTGATTTCAACATAACTGCTCTCGTGCTCAAGTGTCTAACCTACTGAGTTATTTTTCACTTCTCAGATACCTAGATCTGTGTAGAAAATAATCATGTCTTATTTCTTTAATGCTAGGCTAAAAAGCTCAACTATAAGGATAAGAAATTGAATATTGGACCAGCAATAAGAAAACAAGTGCGGAGCCCTAATGCTCGTATGTATTTTGACTTACATTTGGGTATTATCAATATGAATATAAGTTTTTAACCAAGATGTACCTGGTCTTGCCCTGCATTAATGCTGTGTGTGGCATGTGCTCAGAATGGTTTGCAATGGAAGCAAATGCGTGCAAGTGGAAATGTTGAAATAAATAGATTTATGGTGTCTTGGTTCTTTTATCTCTGAATGTGTTGTTTCTTTTACTTTATTGGAGAGGGTTACCTATCTAGGAATGAACTTAATGGAAATTCAATTTGCCTGGCAGAATCTTATTTCTAAACATTCAGTGTGTCCTCACAGGTTCTACAGGATAAAGCAGGCTCTGCTGGTTAGTGGCATTGTTATTCATTAATTATGTTAGTAAAACCTGTTTGGATTGTTGTATCTTGCTTTCTTCGGTAGAAACCATAAGGAATGTGTGGTTATAGTCCCCACTCTTTTCCTGAGCTGTTTGTTCCAAGATATTGAATGGATACTGAAAATGTAGGCTATAAATCACCAACTTTTAAGAAGAGATCTGTCAGTTGTCTTCAGTAAGGGCTGCATGTCAGAAATGTAAAAGATTTCTTTTTTAAGTGCAGCAGGCAATGAAGTGTACTTTGGGACTTTCCTGCAGTATTTGTCCTATGGTACCTTTTGGAACAGTTAGGAAAAACCCATCCTTCCTTTTGCTCATCTTCATTCTGACTCCAGAATACAGAAGAATGTTGATTTAATTCTGAAGCTTTCTTTAGTTTATCATGCTCTGTTAGAAGTGGTTCATGTGTACACTGCTGCTGTTGGTGCTGGCACACTTGCTGAAGACAGGAAGTTTGCCTCCTCCCCTGCTTGTGCCCAAGTATGCCCCTTTCCATGGTGTAAGTGTATGGGTTATTATTTGCCCAGAGGAAATGGAATACTTGTTCCAACTGTATAGTTTCTTTGCTCTAGAAATTATTCAGTATGATCTTTGCTAAGTCATCATGAGATTGTATGCCATTTTCTTGCTATGCTTTATTTCACTTTCCATCTTTGACTGGTATTTTCTCAGGTGTGTTGCCTGACTTGTGGGAGTTCCTTCCTCTGACTCTTGTAATGAATGTGTAAATTGATAGAAAAGGGGCAGATCTCTGTGTTTTAATTGAGACATGAGGCAACAGGGGTAAACCAAAAATATTTTTAAAAAGCTTTTCAAAGAAGGCTGCTGTATTCTTTTGAGATCTTTATTTGTAGACCAACTCCCTGTTGTCTCTCATGCCTAGGGTAGATCTGTGATAGAGGATCATATTGCCATCCAGACACTTCCTAGGGCCTGGTTTCAGTAAGTGTGCTCTCATGCTCAGTGTATCTCAGTCACCAGAATGCTTTGTCCTACTGCAGCTCATCTTGGCTTCATGAAGCCAGAACCACCTGGACTTACAATGTCACTGTAGAGCTGTGGGTTCCATTACATTCCACAGAATTAGAGAGCTGGACAATTAACTGCTGTCCTCTGTAGCCCACATATATAGTGCTTGTCTTTCATACTGTAAAGCAAAATTATTTTTAGCTCTTCTGTCATAGGATCATTTGGGGTGAGAGCTTTGAACATAATTGGGAGAGCCACTTGGTTTGCTTTTCCCCAGCATCAAAATTTGATTTTCATCAAATTTTGTTTTTCACCAGTGAATTTTCTGCATTTGATGAGGAAGATTTTCTTGTTTGCCAGAGACTTATTCAACCCTGGCAGAAAGTTTGTGCAATAACTTGTGCAAATGCTTGGTAGCTAGTGGACAGGATTGTTGGCCTTGGGATTCCATTAAATTACTCATCTGAGATACCAGTAAGTGCTATTCTGGATTGCTGACTGGAGCTAAAACAGCCTTTAGTTTTCCTAGGGTGTGCTTAACATTATCCTGACAAACATCTTAGTCTGTCTATGGATAATCTATCAGCTGTGTTGTATCCAGGTGTCTTAAGGCTTTTCTAGGAATTAGTCAAACTCACTTTCCATAAAAGCTCTTGAATCCCTCTGTGACCCTTTTTGGTCATCCACCGAGCATTCTGGTGATCTCTGCAGTGTTCTGTCAGTTCATAAAATGGCACTTCATGGTGGTTTTTACCTTTGCAAGGCAAGGTGGAAAACTAAAACTTACTTAGTGGTGTTGTTTATTTTGTGTTCTTCCTGATTTTTTCTGTACTATGTTACTATTTTGTGATTTCAGCTTCAGCTACAGAATTCATTTTCCCTTTTTTTCTCTCCAGAAATCTCCCCATATTATGTGTTGTGTTTAATTATTTGTATGGATGTCATCTTCTGCAGTCTTTCCCATCTAGCTCTGGAGACATCCTGTGGCCACCTGCTTTCATGATCATGTTTGAGAGGGAATTGAGATGCCGTTAGACAAGCTGCTCCATGCTCTTTCCTTTGAATGTTTTCTTTCTGTGAAGATCAAAAGTGATCTTCTCTTTTTTCATGGTGTATACATCTGAAAAAAGTTATTTATAAGTAAGTTTTTAAATATTTATTCCAGGTTCTGCTGTGACCCCACAAGCTGGTACAATGTATGCCACTACTGCTGTATCACCAGAAGCTGGTACAATGTACTTGACCACTTCCAGTGGATATCCATATGTTTACCATAATGGAGTGGCTTATTTTCATACATCTGAAGTCTCTCCTGTTCAGCAGCCATGGCCAGTAAGGAATTTATTTTGATATTTATGCTTTTCTATGGACCAGGATAGCTGCAGTGTTTTCAAGTCTCTTCTGCTTCATTTTCTTCAGCTGTGCCTCATAGTAGATGTTTAAATAGCTTCCTTATATTAGACTTTTTGTGTTGCCTGGCTGGTTTTTTTTAAATAACACTTCAGTTTATTTTGCTTCTACAGAGCACTTTTCCTTTGGTGTGACCTATTGAACAGGACAGCTCATAATAAGTCTGGGCCTTGCCACAGGAATAAGTTTTGCTATCTCTAGATAGTGATGGCCTAGTGCTTTCTAGGAAGGTGTGAGTGAATATGCCAGAGATTTTTGAATCTTTGAATTTTTGATCTAACATAAGCTGTTAGAAACACTGGATTTGTAGCAGTTTAAGTGTAGGTTTAAATTTTGTGAATGATTTTCAAAAGGGAGGGGGTGGTTCAGTGCCATAGTACTCCAGAGCTGTGTGTAATAGCAGTGACGATTTATGAAATTGCTGCATTAAGATTTGTAACTTCTTTTCTTTTGAAGTCTCGCTCTGTTTCCAGTTCACCTGTGATGGTTGCTCCACCTGTCTATCAGTCTCCTACATACCATTATCAGGTATCTGTTTGAAAATGATTTTCAGACCATCACTAATCCTCCAGCCATGCAGTCCTATTTGCAGCACTGTCCCAGGTCTGTTTATTCTTAGGAAATAGTTCGTAATACTAATGTGAAACATATTTTAACTTCGTTGAAGACTTTTCAGTAGAATACAGTTTATTTTGCTATGTAACTACATGGATGTTTAATAATTTACATCTTCTTTTGTAAAGACAAAAAAAGATTGTTGCAGGACAGCTGGCTTATCATCTAAGCCAAACTTCTGCTTAGAGTTGGGATGGTTAGAACAGGTTTCTTGGGTACTTGTCCAGTTGAGTTTCAAGTAGCTCCAGTGATGAAGATTGCCCACAATGTTTCTGGAGAGCCTCTTCCTATACTTGACTCTTCTCATCATAAAGACCTTTTCCTTAAAGCCACATTTTTTAGTGGTCTAGCTTGGGTCCATTGATTCATGTGCTCTGAGCACCTCTGTTGAGAGCATGACTTAAGTTTTTGAAGTTTATTAAATGGTCAAGTTGGAGTCTGAGTGGAAATAGATAAAACCATGTTCCTGAGTAATTTGGGGCTTAATGAAAATCATATTTCTGCTTTTTAGTTAAGAATTAATTACAGATTTGAGAATAGTAGTATTTTATGTGTATTTGTTCTTCACCACGTTAGTGACAACTTCTTGTTCAATTTTAGGCACCAACACAGTGTCTTTCAAGTCAGTGGCAGTGGTCTGTTCCACAGGTAAATACAGTTCATAGTTACAGCATTTTACCATGACTTTTCACCTAGTTAGAAGGTATGCTGAGCTTATCTAAGAGTGAGATTTCCCACTATTCACAACTTGGTTGAACTTAGTATTAATTGCTATATTTTAGCAATGTATTTACAACGTTTACTGTTGCAATGGAAGGCATAAAATAACATCTGTTGAAACATTAAATATAAATCTGATGTAGAGCAAGCATCCTCCCCCTCTCCTTCCATTTAGCAAAATATTTGTATCAAATTACCTAACCAATTCTTTAGAAGCAGGTAAAAACTACCAAATTTCACCTGTTTAAAGAAATAGATATTAACTAACCAGTTAACTGATAACTGTGACATTTCATAGGGGTAGATTTAGCAGGAGCGCTTGGACACACATTGGGTAAAATCAGAGCCAGGCCCTTGAAGTAGGAAGAAGTTATTGTTAACTTAGTCATTTTGTGGGGAGAGTTTATCTGTTTTGTAAAAGAGCAGCTTAATATGGAAATCTAGACACTTGAGAAACTTGAAGAGTTTGAACCTGTAGGGAGGACAAAGTCCCTTAAGCTTGAGCTGTTGCAATGCAGCCTCGTTACTTTAATAGCAGCCACCTTGTCCAGTTATGGTCTGTTCCACTCTAATTCATTAATCCATTGCTTTGAAATCAGGGTGCTGAATTACAGAGATTCTCAAATTATTTTAAAACAAAAAGCTTGTTTTGCTAATGTTACCATGTTCAAGGGAAAATTTAACTCTAGTATGTTTCTGTGATTTTGAGATTAAATTAATTTTACTAGTTTTAGGATTTTGCAATGCTCTCCAAAATGTGAATAAAATCTGAAAATCATGTAAAATTCAAGGACTTTTTTTCTTGTACTACCTGACCTTTGTCTACTTCCCTCTTGCTTAGTTTCTTTAAGTAATCAAGGATTAATTTCACACTATTTTAAAGCTTTATCTTCTGTTTATATGTAGCAAAGAGGACTGTAAAATAAGCTCTTCTCTTTGTCTTGCTTAAATTAGAACATTTATTAGAATAATGTGTTTTATTTCAGTCTCCTACCTCTTCACCTCCACTCCTGTACCTGCAACCATCTGAAGTCTTTTATCAGCCAATAGGAATTAACCAGGAAGGTGGATGTATATCTCCACCTCTCCTAATGGAAGCTGCAGTTCCTGAGGTATTACAAAAAATGTAAAAAAGTATACTGAAAATTGAAGTGCTTATTTGTGATTGAAAAATACAATATTTTATTTTAAGCATTGGCGGTTAGAGCAGTGAGGTCAACTGTTCTGGTGCTTATGTTGATATTAAATCATTTCAGGTGTCCTCAAGTTAGAACATGTCTTCCTGTGTAGGAGAATGTTTTGATTCTGAAATATTTTAGAGAGTCACAAATGTATTGCAGACAGCAATATAAGGACTTGTCAATTGGTTTTGTTTGCAAGTAATGTTTAAATAAAATGACAGTTTATTCTTTGGAATGTTGGGTTGAATATCCCTGAACCACAATAGTGGTTTCTAAATTTCTAAAGTAATTCTTCTGTGAGCAGAAGCTTTTTCTAAATATTCTGGTGATCTGAATTAATTAAGAGTGCTTTATTGTACTGTAAAAATTTCTTAAGCATTAGAAATGTTACTGATATCGAATCAAAAAACTAAGCAAAAAATACTTAATCATTCAATCAATCTATTCATGATGGGATATTAGAAATTGTAGTAGATGGCTACAGGAAAAACTGAATTACACACATTTTCACTTTGGTGTTAATTGGTACTTCTCAAATATTCATTCCTCATGAACAGGGAGGCCAAAATAGATGTTAAATTAGGACATCTAATTATTAATGCTAGTATTCAAGTATGGTTCCAAAAGTAAATGGGTATTTTATTCCTACAAGAGAAATTCCAAAACTGGTATTTCAGACATCTGAAGTGCAAAATTCAGTGAAGTAATTTAATTTCCCTATGAACATACTGAATAATACAAGGCTTGGGTTATGGGGGTTTTTCTTCCTTTCTGAAGGTGCATAAATCTTGGTATATATTTTATAATCATAATACTATTAGCAGTACTATTTTACCTTTACTATTTCATGATTTTGTTACAAAGGTGTACAAAGGTCTGAAATTCATGAGCACTGAGAAAACAGTTGAAATTATTTAAGGAATATTTGGATATAATGTGCCCTTGGTTTACAGGTAGACAATTCATTCATGTTAAAGGAAACTGTGTCAAATTTCAGAAGAATGGTATAAAATTCCAAGAATAGTCTGTATTACTTGTATGTAAATATTTTATAGGTATGATACTGCTGGGAATCACATTTTCAATGTGCTAGTGTACACATTTAAACACTGTTCCCATTAGAGCTGAGTGGAATTTGTAATAGAGAAGCTGCTACTTCTGTCAAGGAAAGTGATTTATGACACTGATTTAAGATAAAATAAGTTCACTAAATTTTGCTAATCTGTGGGGAAAACATAGATTTAAATATTGAAATTGTGTTTTTAAAAAAGTCACTAGTTCAGATAAGCACAGCCCACATTTTGAAGTTTTAAGGATTCTTAATTCCTATGAAAGGCTTAAAAAACTTAACATCGTGAAAGAAGCTTTTGTGCTAATTTTTTGTGTTCTTTTATATCAGCTGTATTCTGATCATGGAGTTCAAACCCTACATCACCAGCCCTATGTCCAGAGTCACATAGCCATGCCTGCAGCTGTGAGTATCAAACCAATATAGTTACAGCAAGCACAGCAGTATTGCTGTCTTCTTTCTTGAAGCAATGGCAGTAAGACAAGAGGGGAATGCTTGAAAAATCTTTTATTAATTAATTGGTACATAAGGAAATGGGAAATATTGGAAACAAACTGAGATTTTTCTTCAACTGAAGTTTTGTTACAGAGGGACAAACATGTTACTTATTTTGGAACTAATTGGGGAAACTAAGAAGTGAAAACATGACTAGTTATTTTAAGACTGAGCTACAAAGTAAACTGCAAATAAGAAACATTTTGAGAGAAAATAGTGGACCTTATTCAGCTCATTAAGGTGATGGTTACAAATCCTTGTTTCTTTCTCTGGGTCTTCACCTCTAATTCGTTACTTCAGCCTTAGAAAAGCACCTCATGTTGTGAAGAGTTGAGATTTTGAAACACAGAAAATGAAGTGTCCCAGTCAGTCACCTCTGGTTTTCTTGTGCAGTTCTGATTTAGAAAGGCCCTTTGAATATTATTCCATGTCACCTATTGCAAGTTGGATTTTTTTTTTTTTGTTTCCAATTTAAGGTCCTGTTGCCTAAATTAATAGGACTGTTGATGCCAAATGTGAAATAATGTCAAAACTGATTTGACTGATGTCAGAGATCTAAAGTTGTCAGTAATTAAACTTGATATTACAGCACTTACTCTTCTGTGAAAGGGGCTTACTCAGGTGCTTACATGAGTGAATAAAAGTCATGTTATAAGCTCTCTTTTCCACACGTTTTAAACTTATTTTAGTTTTAGCATTTTTCCAGACCATTGTATAACAATATGTACTGGGTATTTCCAGCAGAGGGGGCTGTCACCCAAGTGTTGTCTTGGAATAAAGTGCTCTCTATTTCTTGCTCGTTCTCTCCTGTTTTCTCAGCAGTCTTGTTACCTAGAATTAAAACTCTGCTCTGTTCAGGTCTCAAGTAGATTCACAGATAGTTAAACCCTTCCAAAGACTTACTGAATTCTGACAATTTTATTCATTGCAGGTAGATGCTGAATACTCTTTGTTTTAAATTTTATTTAGTTAGTTAGTTTCATTTACTAGTAATTAGTAGTTCTAAAATATAAATTTTCCTTTAAAATTTTCATACTACCTTTTCACATACCACTTGGAGTTTGAATATGTTTCCCAGGTACTGAATATGATCAGTTTGTATTGTGTGTCTGTGGCTGAGCTCTCATCAATGATTGAAAAAGGCAAATGTTGGCAGCACACTGCTGTGTGTTAGGCAAGTGCCTGTGGTATTGCCACCTGCTCCCCAGCTGCAGAAGGCAACTGCCTGGTGGCTGTACTCTGCTTAAAATAGCCCAACAAATATATCTGCTGCTGGAAAACTGCCAAGTGGTGGCGGGAGTAATGCCTGAAGTAAAGGCTGTACCTTGGAGGTAATCTGCTAATTGCCTCTATTGCACTGTGTATTCCCAGTGCAATTCCTGGGCTTTGTCCTGGGAGCTGTAAGGCAAGTGGTGACAGTGGGATGCTACAGCTGCTATCCAGAGATTTTTGACAGCTGTAGACTTGTTATATCTTTCAAATGCAGCTCACAGCACATCATTCTCTCTGTTCTACCATCAGTACAAATAGTAGTAACTATTGAGTTACATCAACAAAATGCTGGTTTTAGTACAAAGGTTTTAATAGTGCTAAATGAAAATTAGAAAACATATTCCAACTTCCAACTATAAATTATTTTGAGATCCAATTTTGGTATTTAAGATAGTTTGAATCAAAAATGCTAATCCCCTCCCTGTGTTTGTGTGTTTGCTAATGACATTGAATATATTTACTTTAAGCTTAATTCTTTTGGCAATTAACAGCATATTCTGTTGATGAGCATATGACTTCAGATATTCACAAATGTACAAATGGATAATGCTAACATTCATTCTCAAAGGCTGCCAGATGATGCTTTTTTTAGGAAGTGAGAAGATTCTCATCTCTACTGGAGGTTTCAGATGATCTCCCTATTAGATGATGATATAGGAATGTTTGGATGCTTCCATAGAGTATATACTAAATAGTGTCTGGTAGCAAAAGTTACCTGGGCTATAGTAACAGTGGAACTTTAGTGAGGATTGAAATTTGTGATGTTTGATTTCAGGCCCAGGACAAATACCTGTGAATTAAGTTTTGGTTTTGTTAAGTGTTTATCTGAAGTTCTGAGGCACTGGCCTGGCAAATGTTAGTTCTATATTCTGTGTGTATATGAGGGAGACCCTTGAGGTGAGCACACAGTTGCAGTCTACAAAGCACACAATTACAGTCTACAGAGTGAGCAAAGTGTAAAAGGTTCTGGCATATGGATTGGGTGAGTGGGTAGGATTTGTTTTATTTCATGCTTTTAGCTTTTCTTTTTATCTACCCTTTTGAGCTGCAGTGTCCCTTTTGGGGCATAGGCATGGTTCTAGTCTGTTGCAGTTACTGCTTTTCCTGTAGCTTGTGTCAAGCAGAGTTTTTGGGTGGCATCAACAGTACCAGACAATAAAGTGTCCTTTGTGCTATAGTTCATGGCTGCTTGCATTCAGATCACAGTGGTGCATGATGGCCTGTGCATGGTGAGTGTTCTGTAAATTTAACTGAACATAGCACACTTTTTCTCTGCAGGTAAGAGTAATAGGGGAATATTTGTGTTCAGTGTGTATAAGCTGTATAAATGTACGTGTCTTTGTAAATATTTGTATAGATACACATGCAGGTAGATTGATGTAAATTGTGTCTATTATAACAGTTCTGGTGTAATCATTTGGGGGAAAGTTTAGTTATTGTATACTTGTACTGCATGCTATTGTCTGATGTTCCATGTGAAGCAACAAAAAAATATTTGCATGTTTTCTGTGTAGGTAAGTGAAATTGAAAGAGGATAAGCCTTTTGTTTATAGATATGTTAGTCTAAGAAATGTGAATCTAAACTTCTAGTCATATGATTGCCAAGAGACTTGTCACTAGCTGCAGCTAGGTCTGTTGCCTCTAAAATGGCTCTTTTACACTCCACTTGCTAATTGGATATTAACATGGAAAGGTACAGGAAGTGCATGCTTTTTCTCACATTGTTTCATTCTGTGCCCTCTTTACAAACTTCTCCTTTTCTGTTTGTTTGCTCTTAGTTCAGTGGGTTTTTTTCTTTTGCTTTTTCTTTGCATGATGACCCTATGAAGAATCCACTATTAAAACATTTGGGCCACTCTAGTTTATCTTTACTGATTAATTTTTCTTTTTTTTTTTTTTGTGTCCAGTCCTTCCTGTGTGGCTGAGATCCATCATCACCATAGGAGCTAGCAGCTGCCAGTTGTGGCATTTGGGGTCAGTTGTTTCATTGCAATGCTTGCTATTTATGATTTAGTGAATAATAAAATGTACTCAGATCTAGCACAGTCTGCAGCATCACTTGCCTGCTTCCTTCAGTTTGACACTTGCTAATAATTCTCTTCAGAAACCAAACTCTATATAATCAGTGTCATTCATTCCTGGGATGGTAATGTATGTGTAAACTCATCATTTTAGTTAAACTGCCTGAATTTTATATGAGTTTGGATTGTTTTCCTTCAGAAAGAATGAATTTTTCTGTACTACCAATGTATGATTCTTTTGTTTCTGACAACAGTTTTAATTCTCTTTTGACAACTTCTGTTTTTCTTCTCCCTATTTTGTGCAATTTACAGTAGCTTGTGTTTATAGGGCTGTACTCTGGCAGGTGCTGAAGCATGCTTTTACTGTGAAAATGGTGCCTCTAAGTTGCTTACACTTTTTTAAAAATTAGAATTTTGATGAAAGGAGGCCTAGGGAAGAATATATGTTTTGCACATCTTAAAATTGGAGTAATTTTCTTACTTGATAGCCTTTAAACAGCTCACTGATTTGTAGCAGGGCCTTGCTGTATGTTAAGATGTGCCTGCATGATTTACCCCCAGCTGTGGCTTTTAAGCAAATATTAGCAGCTTTTAAACAAATATTAGCAGCTTTTAAACAAATATTAGATGCCTACCAGTGTAAAACTGAGCATAATTTTCTCAGTAAACAAAGAGAATGTGTTTGTGTCCTACCTATACTAACAGGAGTTAAACTAAAGAAAAAGAGAAACACATTGGGGTTGAAATCCTGTAAAGTAGATATGAAAACTGAAGAGCATGGAACCTTGGAAGTTTTGAAAAGCAATGCACAATGTGATGGGGAGTTAGTAGCTGATGAAAAGAGACTGATACCTTGAGATTTACAGTGGTTTGGATATCCTGATAGAGGTGTATGAGCTGCAGCTGGTTGTATTAGGAAACTATCAGAGCCAGAAGGGAGAGTAAAGAGTTAAATTTAATAAACAAAAAAGTTAGTGATGAAAAGGCCTGGCATAAGAAATAAAGTTATAAAAAAAGGACAGTCTGAGTCTGTCATATGACATAGTTAAGTAAAGAGTAAAAGAGATGGGCAGTGCACCTTTGGGATTTGGAGCAGCTGAGATAGGGGGATTGTAAGAGAATTTGATCTTTGGAAGAGGAAACAGAATAGTACAAGTATTCTAAAATCTGTTTGTGCCAGTACCTAAAATGGTAGCTGTGTTTTCTGCATCTTGCCATCTTTTTGTCAGCAGCTAGTGGCATCCACTGACAAATTATGTAAGCACAGTCCATTGCCTCTCAGTTTACAAATAAAGCAGCTTTCAGTTTATTAGCTCAGATTTTATGGGTAAGGTACTAAAAACTTGATGTCAACGTTATTGTAAGAACCCATAGTAAAGCATTGCTCTAATCTACATTACAGAGAATGCTGAAGGAAAAAAAAACTGAATTGGTTACATAGGTTTTCACAGAATGCTCTGTAAAAATAAATTTTCTCCATCCAATTAGAAAGAGGATACAATTGCTTTAATACCTTGACATCCTTTAGTAAGACCGTATGATCAATGAACAAAACTGGGTTATTTTCCTTTAGTAAAAGCATTCTGAACCCGTGCTAAGATTCCATGCTTGCAAATAAAGGAGGGTATTTCCTGCCACTGTGGGCTTTATGACCTAGGTGCATAAGAAAAATCTGTTTTTCCTGTTTGCACCAAGTCTGTGCAGCTGATGCAATAGTGGACTGTAACTATTCATTGAAGCATTGTTAATGCAGTAAGTGGGACACACTTTGGAACAGAAGAAACAACCCAGCATTTTCCCTCTCTTTAGGAATTGAGGTCGCATTCTGTGAGAAGAAATGTTCTGCATCATTCGTCTGTGAGTCTGAAACCTCAGTATGCATGAAGTCATCAGTTTCCTCCTGGAAAAGATTACAGAATGGAAGATAAAACTTTACACCACCTTCTACAGATGCTGTAAAACACTGGGGTTTTTAGCTCTGTATTTTGCTAAAATACTTAATCACAGAGAGGGTATGTTCTTCCTAGCTTCTGACATTTCCTTGCAGGTTCCCCAGTTAAAATACCGCTACCTTCTGTCAAGTAATACTTGAAATTTTGTAGTTTGGTCAGGTAAAACCACATGAAATAATAATTTTATCCCTGCACTTCCCTTCTTAATGCAAACCCTGTTACAGGGCAAGAGAGTGACTTCTGAAACACAGACTGCTGTATGTATTCCAGTTACTAGCCCAGACTGAAAGCCAGCATACTTCTACTGAAGAGATAATGTCACCTTTAATTTCTGGTTTACATAAACTTTAAAGCTACATTAGTTACAAAGTTGAAGCCGTTTTGCCACATACAGCATTTTTGTACTGTGGATAAAATCTGATTATTTAAATCCATGTGAATTTCATTTCCATTCCAAAACAATTTGTCTAGCTTAATTTTTCTTGTTATCAGTGTTCTCTACTTTTATAAGGTTTTACTTTGTGTCATTTTAGTGTTTGCAGTAATAATTTTTTGAAATAAAATTTGGACCCCTAGTTTAATAATGATTTGTTCTCATTCTAATATTTTTATTGCATATGCATTTGGTTTTACAGTATGTTTTTAGCTATAGGAAAAGGAATGAAATGACTGCTTGAATTAGAAAAAGCAATGAAAATTTCTTTGCTTCTTTGGGGTTTTCTGTTGTCTGTATGAAAATAAGGAACTCCCTGGTGGTATCACAAATTGAGATGACAGACTATTTTTTCCCTTGATTTCAGGAAAACAACTTTGGTTTTTAGTTGTGGTGTGTTGTTCATTTGGTTTTTGGTTTTGCTTCTCCCCTCACCTCCTAGGGTTCCTTTTATTCATTACAAAATCAGATTCCCCAAAGGTTGAAAATAGAGGCTCTGTATTTACAGGAGTGCAAGGTATGGCTTATTGCTTCTGTAGCATTGAAGCCTTTATATTTTGTATCTAAAATATCCTTGAGTTATTCAATTTTATCTGTTTTGTAGTAATTTGAGGGTTTTCCTTTTTGTGTGGATTTGTTTTGTTAGTACTTTCTTCCTTTTAATCATTCAGAGATCTTGCTAAGCAGACATTGTAGTCAGTGAATAATCAATCCATGTATGATATGTAAATCTCTTTGAAGATTCTTCTGGTGTTCAGTAGTGTTTTGTGGTGTTGTCCAGGAAGAGAGTTGGAGCCTGGTTCTGGTTTTATGCTGTTTTGAAATTTTTAGGAAAGGAGATGCCATGTACTAGGTCTTGGTTGCAAGTTTCCTTAAGGGACTTTGCATCTTCTGCTAGGTAGAAAAATTTACACAAATATAATTTTAATAATTTCTCTTTTTAACAATTTATTGCTGTAGCAGCTGTAGTGGATTGTTTTATCACTAAGTATCAAAAGTAGTATACAATTCTTTTGGGGACAAGTAAAGTTCAGCCTGTTTTTGAAGGGGGAATTCATTTGTTTTAGGTTCTCATGTTTCTGAGCAAGTCTGTACCACTAAACACATCTGTCCAGTTCTGTTTAATTTTCACATTTTAGAACTCCTCGATACAAGGTTATCATAAAAATCTTGGCTCATCAAAGCCATAATTCATTTCCAATGAAGAATTTTTACGTAGTAAATATTTTTAATGAGGTTTTGTCTCTAACGGTACCAAAGAAAGAAAGATTATGTTCTGGTGGAGCCTTACTTCTTGTGTCAGGAAACACACATTTGACCCAGAGTTCTGGAGATTTAGTCCCAAGCCTGTATTTTTGAAATCTGCACTTTGTTTACCAAATGTGACTTCCCTGTTTTCAATTGTGCTTCAGAGATTCAAGAAAATAAATTTTACAGTGAGTACTAATTTAAAAGAAGAGTGCTTAGAGGGAAGTCTCTTGAAGTAATTGCTTGAAAGTGTACAAATACTGTGCAGTCACGTCATCAGATTGTGGCTCTATTCCAGACACCCACAAAATGTAGTTTATTTTCTCTTAATTGATGCAGATGTTAGATTGTTGATAATGAGTTAATCCCATGGCCTTTGCTTCAGAGACCACTCACTTTGTTTTAGTTGCATGTGAACTTGATTGTTTGGAAGGTTACTCAGTGTCAGGCACTGAACTATCCGTGCAGTGTTCCCCTGTGGGGTGTGTAACATCAGTCTGGAGGCACTGTTAGTTAGGGTTGTATATTCAGGTCTTAACAGAGCTTTGTTTTGGTTTGAGAGACTGAGAAGAAACCAAGTAGCTCTGAATTTTGGTTTTCCTCCAGGAACTGGCCGTCACTGTTAAAATACTGAGGCCTTTTCATTTATATTGTAGCTCATCTTTGTTCAGAGTGCTTGCCAAGAGTGATGGCATGACATCAGACAGCAGTGACTGAGCCAACCTTTCAGGAGTTGAGTCTCTGTAGGAAATGTACCTGACTTAGCTGTGTGGATCCCTGTAGTTGAATTAAATGTGTACTGGGGAAGAACCACATTTCCTCAGTGCCTACAGTTGTGCTGTTTTGATGTTCTGGCATTCATGGCTTCTTGTTCCTTTACACTGCACTGTCCTATTCTGCTAGTTCAGCTTTCTGGAATGTGGAGATTGCCATGCTGTTCAACAGAAGTCATTTAGTTAATCATAGATCTTCAGATGAGGATTTTGGGGGTTGGAGAAAGGGTCATGTTCTTTTTGGCCTTCTGCAGTTCCCCACTGATAATAGTGAGGCTCCACACTCATGCTAGGAGGGAATGTATCCCCATGTGCCCTGTGGGCATGCAGTAACTGATAGCAAATCACCTTTGTGCATTGGCCCTCACATTCCCATATTAGCAAACTAGGTTAATTTTCTGGCTTCCACCCCTTAGAATTTAGGAGAACTGGTTGGTTTCTTCTACTGAGAACTGGTTGGTTTTCTACTGAGCTAGCTGTTACAGTATTTCTAGCAACTGCTGTCTGCTTATATTACATTTCCATTGCAGAAGGTTAGTTCTAGCATTCTCTATTTTATAAAATAAACACTGGATAAAAGCTTGGACAGGCAGAAAGTTACTGAAGTTGTCTCTCAGGTATTTTTGTATATCTGTTTGACTATTGTTTCTTGTAAAATGTAGAATTCTCTGGTTTATTAGTACTTTTGGTTCCTGCTTCAGATCTTTTGCAAAAGAAGTCTATTGTTCCTGAAAAACTGTTTACAGTTTTCATTTTAAATTGGAATTTCTTTATATTCAGATACTCATTTTCCAAAAGAGCTAAGAAGTCATTGAGTAAACTGCATTCCAGTAGTAACTAGCAGAACACATGGCTCTCTTGAAATGTTTTTGTCTGTTTAACAAAGTTATAAAATGTGAAAAGTTGTATGGCTGCAAAATAGCTTTTTTTTTTTTTTGTAAAATAGTTTTGTGCCTTTGTAATGTGGAAGTACTACAGCAGGTTCAGTTCACCTGCTTTAAAAACTTCCTAAGTTTCCTATTGAAGTAAAAACTATTCAGCTTAAGTCCTTATTTTAAGGATGTAGAATACAGTGCCATGTGTGCAGTCCTGCACACTAGTCCTTATATAGCTGTTATACAGAAAATGCAGCTCTAGCCCATCCAGTTTCTTTCTAGAATCCATGGGTTTAGTTGGTGGCTAACATATGGCTGAGTGTTTGATACTGTATTGGAGATACAGATGATACACTTGCTACTGCCTTGATAAGTGAGATACTGTGAGTGCACAGAGAGAAAAGTTGAAGAAATTTGCAGATCTCATTTTAGAGAACTGTTTACAATTTTAGAAAATAAAAGCTCTTTTAATTGAAACTGCTTGTAATACAGCAATAATAAACAAGCTTCTGTATTTTTGGATTTCTAGTAAAGTTCTGAGTTAGTAGCTACAAGTTTAATTCCAGCTGGTCTATATTTACTGTTTGGATTGTAACTTTTGTTTATTGTAGTATCAGAGTTTTAATATGGGTTGAAAAAAATGAAAAAATGAAATTTAACTTTGATCATTAAACTATGTTTTAATGACTGCAAAAGCAAACTATTGTTGTCATCTCTGTTCATTGTATTTAGAACATTTAAGTTAAAGCTTACAGCAGAAAAGCTGGCTTTTCTGCTCAGGTTAACCTGTTTAACAAGACTGTTCCTGTCACATTCACAAAACTCTTCCTTCAAAGGCAAATCATTTAGGCTGAAGAAAAAAAGCAAATTGCCAAACCTTAGAGCCTTCAGAATGGAATCCTGATACTTCGTTGGTATCTTTAAATTGAGTCATTCTAGAGAAAAAAGAAATGTCAGTGTTTTAGTTAAATCAAGTGCTCTTGGGAATGGGGGTGTGAAAAATATTTGACAACTGAGTTGCAGAATTCTTCTGATGAAAGCTTTTTGCTTTTTCTGTCATTATACTCACTCAAACAAAAACTTTACATTTGCTTTAAATCATAAAACAAAGGAAGTAAGCCTGAAAAAGTTAAAAGGGGAACTAAAGTTCAAAAATGTTGCAATTTGAGGTTTTTAATATTTAGGGGGGTTTTAAATGTGTTAAGTCCTCAAACTAGCTGTTCAACTACCCTCAGGTTCCAAAGAAATCTGACTAATTTAGCTTGTGTTTGTAATTTGTTTCTTGTATCTTATTTATGTCTATGTCCTCTGTTTACATTTTGTCAGTGATGACTGATCTATAGCCAATAGCAATGCTGATTTCTTTATTGTTTTCCATGTATCCTTTATAAGCATGCTAACATTTCAGCTCAAATTGGAAATGTGCTTGATCCAAATATTTTACATTTTGACTTTGTTAGAGGGAGTTATTTTTTTATTGAGTCAATTTTGGTCCTAGTGAAATCTTTATTATTAATAATACTTTAGGGAATTGGTAGAGGTTTAAGGTATTTGCATTTCTGCTGCTCACTACATCACCCTTGAGAACAGGAATGGATCTTTACTGGTGGTACATCCATTAGAAGGTTATTCACTTAAAACTTTTCACTGATGAGCTTACCTGTAACAAATTCACTGATACAGGCTGCCCAGACTAATGTTTTTTGTCCCAGTTGTGGCCTAACAAGCTGGAAGATGGGAGATGTTCTCCTCTTGGAGTCCTCATCCAGTTCTAAGTCATAGGATTGAGCAGGAGTTGTGTCATGGTTGTGATACACCTTAAATTTCATAGCCCTTAAACAAAGTCTGTGATTTATATTTCGAAATGTAAAATTATAATACTACTGCTTTTGCTTATTTTTGGAGTTAATGTAGCATTAAAGCAATGTGATTCCTGTTGCTTTTAACTCACTAGCCAGTGTCCTAACCAGAAAGAGAAGGGTTGTGTCTTGGTTAACATTTGGTATGCTGGTATAGCTGACTCAACTGCAGATTCAGTAATTTAGCATCTTTCTTGAGTTTCAGTTTAGATATTGTTCATACAGGCAAGAAACATATTTTGTGTACTTGTATTGTTTTCATAATTTTCCTTACATTTTATTATTTTAGTGAAGAGAAAACTGATCAGGTATCATCTCCTATTCTTGATCTCCTAAGGTAATGGGGGAGGACACGTTTAAACTGCATTATTAAATGGCTTATGCAGATCCTGGGTTTTGGAGAAGGAAATATTTTTATTCCTGTAAATAGGCTTTGTGTTCAGATGGGTTTGTCACAGATGTTCTAAACCTCAAGAAGGGTTGTCTTAACAATTGTCTGAACAATTCTAGCAAGAGAGATCAAAAAGGGATGCCAGTGCCACTTGTTTGCCACCAAGGCCATAGGCAGAGCCTGCCCTGGCTGTCATAATGATTGCAGCTTAGCAGAGTCAGGAACAGGAGACATCTATTTCCAAACTGCAGTTTCAAGCACTTTCAGTCCTTTTGTTCAATAAGCCTAGTAAGGTAACGAGAAAAACAAAAATGCCTCCCACACGAAAGCTTTTAAACCTCCCTCAGACAAGGGGGAACAAAGCAGATCATGAGCACGGGGAGGAACAGCCCTGAGGTGTGGGTAGACAGCAAGGCTGGTTTGTCTCACAGTCTGGTCAAAGCTGCTGAGCACAACTGCTGCTGCTGCTTCTCATCCTGTGCTGCCAACAGGCAGTCAGTAATCCAGCATGGGACACACATCCCTGTTGATGTGCTTCTCTTGCTGTCTTGGGAGCATTTTTCCATTTGATCAGAATAAAAACTGTTGGGGATCCTGGAAGCCTTCCATGGAGGCAAAGTTCCTTTGGACTCATTGGTCCTTTGTCTGGCTGTCTTTGCCTTCTTTAAAGTCTAAAAATTATATCAAGCTTCAGTGAAGGAGTCTCATGCCCTTTCAGAGATGGCACTGTAAATACAACTTGCTGGTGAATCACAGGATAGTTTGAGATTTGCTCTTTTCTGATGCCCGTTCCCAGAGCCTTTGCATTTTGGGTCACTGGGTGTAGATTGTTTTGTAGTTTGTATCCACTTGGTAACAGGAAATTGCAGCTCTTTAGCAGCTCTTGAATCTTAAGAATCTTGTGATCCTGTGTCTCTCCTGAGTCATTCAAGTGTTTTGATGCAGTTTTAAACTCCAGTGGGAGATGCTGCTCATTGTTGCTGATTTTGTTTTGTTTTCTTTATTTTGGTCTGTGTAACCTTTGGTTTTATTAGTGACTTGAGTCAAGTCTGCAATGACAACTGTTGACTGACTTCCAACTTGGGAGCTTATAACTATTCATACTTAGCTAGGATTGCACAAAATATGGACTGTTGCTTTTATCTGGAACTGTTATTCTTCCTGGTGTTGTAAGAGTTTGTTTATATTATGTAAAGTCCTATCTTGGTGAAGGAGTTGTAACATTGTGTAAGCCTTGTCATGAAGAGTTGAAAATACATGTTCAAAATGGCCTCATTGAAAATGTAGTTATTTTAAGTTAAATAAAAATGAAAAAGCAGCTTGCTGACAACTGGACTTGGGCTGCAAAAATGTTGTTTTACTTACAGCTATCTTACTCATGCCATGGCTTCATACAAGCAGTTACAATGAAACTTAAGGGGAGTGTAGAGTGAAGCAGCTGGATTCTCAAGGCTGAGTGGACACTTTACATGTATGGCTGATATGGTGATAGTTCAGGGATAACCTTTACTGAAAAAAAAAATGTAGTGTTTGGGAGCAATTTCTGTGTGAGAAGACTCTCAAGAAGCTTAAGAATTCTGCATATTTGATGTATTTTCTTAGGTTTTAATTGAGAAGACAATGCTTGAGGATTTCCTTTCTGTTTCAGCACCTGGGAGCGTGTTTTAAAGACTGCAATAATTGCAACTTCAGTTCCAGGCTCTGCACTAAGTGATTATAATTTTTTTTTCTAACATTAAGTGGCTATAATCTATAATGTATGTTTCAAAATGTTGTAGTCTCTAGGCATACAATTCCTGATAAGTTACTTAAATAAAAAGTTAGATCACTTTGCTTGCAGGAGAACAGAAACCCACAAATAGTTAATGTCTAACTTGAAGTTATTTTTTATACAAAATATTAGCATTTTTAATAAGGTATATATATTTCAATAAAAAAGTAAAAAAGGCTTTTGAATTTAAATGTGCCATTCATATAAAATGGTGTTATGAATCTTCAGGTTTTTTTCTCTAGATGACTGAATGTCTTTAGGTGCAGTCTAAAAATAAAAAGGCCAATTTCTAACACTTCATCCTGGGGACAGCAGGGCCACAGAAAATAACTCAGTGTTTCTTTTTTCTTCCTATGCATTATTGTGATCTGCATCAGGTATAATGCAGACCACAATAATTACAAGTGACTTGCAATAGTTAATGGAAGAGTAATGAGAGCCCTTAAATTATACTGAATTTTTAGAACCTGAAGAAAAGTTAACATAGAAAACTTTTTACAGTGTTGAAAGTCTGTGGCTGTACCAACTAAGGTGAGTTTAACAGGGGAGAAAAGGATTCTGTTTGTTCAATACCCATGAATAATGGAAAACAAAGTTTTTAAATTTTTTTCATATGTAGTATTGACCAAGTCTTTCCCATTTGAAATGAAGAATATTTCAGTGTGATTATTTTTGGTGTTTTTCAAAACCAGTTACATAAGTTAATTTTCATGCTGAAGATTCTTATTGATTTTTCTGGACAAGAAATTACTACATATTTTTACACTATTACACTGTGTTCATGTTGGTTTTTTTTCCTCTATAAGAAAGTCCCTGTAGAAGGGAAATAGGAGCCAACTCTGAAATCTAAAATAAGGACTAAACAGCTTTTCATTTGCCTTTCTACCCTTTGAGATGCCAGAAGCAATTTCCTCTTGAAGCTGACTTCCTTTCTGGAAGTGATTTTCATCTCCAACCATGTTGAGGCTCTTTTCTCATTCTTTCATTCTGACTAACTTGCTTTTTTCCTGTCTGACTTTCTACTGCAGTTGGGAACTTCTGGAGGTAAGGAATGACAGACAAGTTTCTCTCTAACTTTCTTTTTCAGTTCTTCTTTCCCCCTCGCCCCCCCTCACCCAGTCAGTCTAGAAGGACAAACAAAGCACTATTGGTGTCCTCTGCAAGAGAGCACTGATAGGGGCTGGCTGTAAATTGACGTGGCATGGAAAATCTCTGCTAGTTGGGAGCAGCTCTAATGTTGCTGCGAAATCCAGCCTACTCGTAGCCAAGTTTGTAGCTTGAAATCATCTCGAGCTCACTGCTTCTATATTAAAAATGAATGGAAAGTACCTTTGCTTTTCGGTCTGGGAACTGGACTTTTTCTCTGTTTGGATTTACAGCTAATAGGGGAAAAAAAAATTGAGGGGAATTATTTGGTTCCCTTTTTTTCCCCTGTAGTAGGAGCGACAGATCTTGCTGCTCCCCCCACCTTTTCCTGCGACTTAATCATTTGCAGATCTTGCCATGGGGTGCGGACTGAGAAAGCTGGAAGACCCAGATGAAAGCAGCCCTGGAAAAATCTTTTCTACACTGAAGAGACCACAAGTTGAAACAAAGACGGATTCCGCTTATGAATATGTATTGCTGGATTTTACCTTGGAAGGTATTTTTTTTATGCTGTATCTTTACTATTTTGAAGTAAGAAGGAACAGGATTTAACTTAGTTTTCTCTTGTTTGACTTACAGTAAATCTTAGGCACTTTTGTCAAAGCTAGCCAAAATGCAAGACTTTTATTTTGAAACACATATCACGACGAAGGTTCTTACTTGTATAAAATTACAATGGAAACTGCTGAAGTATTTTTAACAACCAAACCCTGCAAATTATACAACTGTCCTCGTTAAGGAAGCTGGCTAGAAACTGTTAAGAGATTTTTCCTAGTTTCCTGTGAGTCACATACTGCCATCCGTACTGGCTTTGAATAATGGTTGTCTGAATTCAGTGTGACGGTTCAGAAAATACACTGTGCCTGAGCCTTAATTGAATAACAATTTTTTAAATGCACTCAACTTCCGAAAACAGGCTGTCATTGTCCTTGTTTCTTTATGCAGAAGTAAGCCTGTTCCTTAGTTGTATATCAGGAGTAACTTCCCCTCTTACGCCCACCGCGGTCTCTTGGTAGAAGTTTCTGTTATAAGAGTCTGAGTTTTGTCTTGCTTTTTTTCCCAAATGCTTTACTTGTAGTTGTTGAATAGTCTTTTGAAATTGTGACTGAAATGAAACTAAATCTGTATGCATAGCTAGAGGCAGACAGTGCTCTGTGGGATACTTCCTTCCCGAGTGTGTCCCATCTCTAACAGAGCAACTCCCTGTTCCACAAAGTTGAAAACATAAACAAGCCCAGATGGCTGCCCTCAGAGCACAGACAGCTCACTTTTACAGTCACTTCATAGTAACTTGCATTTTGTAACAACCTAGTGTACTGGAAATGCTTAATAACAAGGATTTGAAGTAAATGCTGTTACTAGAAGGGTTGGATAAAGGGAAACAGTGTAAGTGCAGGTCTTACTGCAATTGCAGGAACTTTTTCATAAACAAAACTTGGCTTTTGATTATTTTTTAATGTTGTAATATTTTTATTTTAAATACAAGAGTCTTTTCATTAAAAAGCTGTATGAGACTAATAGATATATTCTGCTAGGTTACATAGTACTAGAGATCTAACTTTGTTCTGTTTATTTACATAAAAAGTTTCTCATTGGTTTTTTTCCTTTTGAAGAAACAAAACTATCAAATAAGTAGTGGTAAGATATTGGAAATAAAGCTAGGCTACCTAGTGCATACATTAATTAACTACTGATACAGGAAGGATAAATTTTTTGGAAACTGAAGAGCATTCAGTGTTCTTAAATAGCCTCTGTTCCAGATAGTTTTGCTGTGTTTTCAAGTTACAGTTTCTAATAGTGTTTTATAAATTACTTGTTTTAAAGGTGGCTGTGACCTTTGAAGTAATAGCCCATCGAACATGTGCAATTAAAGGTGTAGCTCTGTTTTAATAACTTAGCAGTACAGCAGTAAAGATTCATTTTCTGTTGTTTGTCTGATAATCAGAATTGCTCTGCTTCAGTGGAATTATGTTAAATAACTGAGATCAGTTTCAGACAGTTACCTTGCTCTTTTTTAGGTTTCTTACTGGAAGTAAGGGGATTTGTAAACAAAGGTATCTTTGTATTGAATGGTTCTAGATATGTATATATAACCTTAATTTTTTTTTTGAAGTCTCTGTTTTTAGAGCTAAGATGAATACAGAAAAAGAATATGGTACATATTTCTACTGCCTTGGAGGCATTTTTCAATTCTGAGTGTTTCTAAAATGGGTGGATTGGCTCAAGTTTGGTAGAGAATATACTGAGCTTTTTTTCTTTTTTCCTTCAGTCAGCTTGCTCATGTACTTGTTGCTATTTGAATGTCCTTTGGCTTAATTAAACTGAGAGCCCTTTATCACTTCAGACCAAAGTTTGTCCTCTGCTGTCAAGTTGTGTATTTATGGCACTCATTCTGCTTTGCCTACTTCCAGAGCAAAGTCTTCCTCTGCATAGGGGATTTACGTGTGCCCGAGTGATTTCTTGTCACTGGACCTTGCACCAAGAAAAACAGAAAGTCTGCACTTAATAATATTTTAAGACCTTACAGTAAACCATGTCCTGCATCAGGATAAAAGTATAGCAAGCATAAATGCGTTATTTCAATTCAATATGCCTTATTCTGTGCTTTATCAGGTATATGCAACGTGAAGTCAAAATGAGCCTGCTGGGGAAACTTGCAGCAGTCCCTGATCTTTTCTCCCAGGCCATGATGCAGATTAGGTCAACCATGCTGTAGTCTGAATTTGCTGGCTGGAGTCCCTGTGCATCTTAACTACTTATTAGCTGTGCACCGAACCTTGGCTTCTCCCTTCCTGGTCCCCAAAATGCTCCCATCCCTACTGTAAAAATTAGCTTTGAGTTCCATGGAGGATGATGGCCATCAGGGGAATCCCAAACAAAAAAAAAAAAATCACAGCCAATCTTTTATTTTGGTGGACTGAAGTAGTACAAAGAAGAGGGAGCAGTGGACACTGAAGTGTAATTTTAAATGCTGGTCAGTGACTGTAAATCCCAAAGTCTCAGTCATGAATCATATCCCAATCACACAAACAGCTGTTATATTTTGAAGTCAGTTTGACCAAAAAGTAGGGATAGTTTCTATATTTCTTCAAAGCAGAATGCTTATGCATTATCCACTATCCTCCTATTAGGGAAAAGAAGAAATATTGATGCAGCCTACTAAGATGACACATGCTGTCAAGTTCCTGTCACTCTGAATGCCAGTGTGAATATGTGTGAAATAGCTGTTTTGTCATCATCTTCAGTATCCTGCATCTGAGATTTACCATGCATCTGGAAAGTTAGCTGGAGTTCTTATTGCTACAGTATTTTGGCTACCTGTTGAGAGCAGATCAGGAAGGAAACTTTTGTTATGAAAAAGGGTTTAAGACATTCATAAAATCAGGGATGTGGCAATCAAATTGCATCATCCTTACTTTTTTGGTCTGTAGGCTATGGAGCAGTTATTTCTCAATACATGGGCTCTTGGATTTAGAGTGGAATCATGGGATGGGAGTATTGCTAATGACAAAATATCATCTATTTACAAAAGGGAAGCTGTGATAGTGTCTGCTTAAAGAAAAAGTGCAACAGCCTTGTCCTTATGACTGAGAATGACAGTTTAGTTAATAGCTTGTATTTGTTGGATATCAGCAATAAACCATCAATATGTATGTTGGTGATAGTTTCTGGTAGTGTGTGTTTCCCTGGTATAAATTATCCTGGTTCTTCTTGATGGCTTTTCTGTTAAGGTTCTTACAGTGACAAGCAAAGTAGGCCACCATTCCTTTTCCCATTAGTAGAAATTGGTGTTAAAAAGCATTTGAGTGTTGTAAAATACTAGTTTCTGATAGTTTGTGGGGGTTTTCTGGTCTTTTTTTAAAGCCCTCAGTAAGTGTATGAATGTCAATATTATCTACATTTTATAGAAAGCAGTATAAAGAGGCTTTACAGAACACTCCTTGTGAATCAGCAGAGTTCTAATTCAATTTATTAGAATAAATTTTTTTATTTGTGCAAACCAAGGAGTCATATCTCTGGTTTATGATGGTTTAAAGCAGTAGGATAGACAAACTTAGTGACTTCTGTGTCTTAGGTCCTTAAATTCCTTGCTATTGCCAACCTGCACTATAATGCAGATAGACAAGGGAAGGTAGGGACAAGAAATTAACTCCGCAAAGTGATGAGAGATTTATATAATTGCATTTACTTTATTTTTTATTTCATGCATTTTTTTAATTACAGAATCAAAGAAGAGTTAGTGTGTTTAGGTATTTGCAGTTGTATGGTTAGATAGGGAATGTTCAGGGCAGCACATTACACTTGCTTGTATATTGGAAAAAGTGTTGCTTAGTTTTGACTGAGGCATCCTTTGGTGCAGATGGGCACTGGTATTAATGCACAGAAAGTCCTGCAAAGAGGGATCCATCAGGATCCAGGCAAATAGGCTGCCTGGAGCAGGGCTCACCACTAGACCAGCACGTTTCCAGCCAGGCTGTTTTGTTGTCAGAGTTCCTAAGTGCAAAAGATGAAAGCTTTGGCAAATCCGTGCTGGTGTAATGGCTCTTCTGCTGCTATTTGTGTATGAGTATTGATTTCCTGCTTTCTGAGGGCATCTAGAGTTCCAGCTGTACTTGTGAGAAACAGGAATTACTGACCCATCAGACTGACTGTAGCAGAATATGTATCTGTTACCAGTGTGGAATCTTCCTTTTTTCTTTGCAAAAGCTGTGGACCATTTTAAAAAGGTTCTCCAAGAAGTTTTCCCTTTATCTCTGTAGTTTTCCCAACAATAATGTACTATCTAGTTGCTGCCTATTGATGCAAAATCCCTGCACATGCTGAGAGGGACCCTCCTTAGAAATCAGCTTACTTAGGTGATGTGTAAGTTTGGTGAAAAAAGGAACTGGGACTGTCAAAGTGTCAACTGATACTCCTCCAGATCATTTCTAAGTGGAAAAAAAAATTAATGGAAACAAATCAATTGTTGTAGGCTTAAATCTGTTACGTGGAAATTTACCTGAAAACTGGAGTTGAGGGATACTGCATTAGTATGTTTAAGGCTTGGACTAGACAAAATAGTTGCTTTGTTAGGTTCAACTCTATTATGTGTTTAGATGTTAACACAGCTTTTAAATCAGCTTGGCAGACCTTGATCAAACAGAAAATGTTGCCAAGTATGTTAAAAATAGATCGTATTAAGTTGTAAAAATAGGTACTTGAAGTAGTTGAATAGTGTTGAATCATCCGTGAATCTGCTTTTTCTTGTCTAAATAGAACTGTAGGTTTTAATAAATGGCTGGGGATAGGTTTTGTGGATTTGCATGAAAGGAACTCACCCAAAGTGTTTATAGACATACACAGTATCATGTGCTTCTCTTCTGCTTTCAATGCTTTGTAGCTTCTTCAAATCCAGAAGTGATCAGGATCAGTTCTGTGTTGGATATAGCAGCTCGGGTGGAAGAGTATTACAGCAAAGGCTATGTTGTGGGAGCTGTGCATCCCATTCTGCTGCCAGTGGCACGGAGGAGGAGCTTCCCTGCAAGTCACATGTATCGAGTGGTGCTCTCCCGGTTAAAGCTGAGGTAACAGGGAAATTACTTGAGTACATTGATCCTTTACTGAAGCCATTTGTGTGTGGGCTGCTCAACATTCATTGCTTATCAGTTTGAAATGAGCACCTCGGATTGGCCAGTTAGTAGTCTTTAATTAATGCTAAGCACACACTAAGCTAATGTTTCCTTTGCCTTAGTAAATAGCCTAACAAAATCCAAAGTGTAATATCATCTGTCTTAGAACTTGCAGCAAATAAGATTAACCAAAATACTAGGAGAGTAATAAGCTGCTTTAAACTATCTCATGCTTGCTTTTTCTTGGTTTTCAAAACTTTTGTCTTTCCCAGGGGAAAATGACATAGATTGTGAATTAATTTGTCAGGGATAGTTTGGGTTTTTCCTTATTAAGAAGAAAATCTTCATTCTGGAGCAGAGGTCATACAAAAGCTTTGTTTTGACACTGAGGGAGAGGCAGGAGCTTGTTTATGTTCCAGATCCATGGTCTTGTTTATTACTCCTGTTTTTACTGCATTAAAATCACCATGTGATCCTAAAAACACATGCAAAGCAATGTTACCATTCATTAGTTCCTTTGAATGCAAAGAAAATAACCTCTTGTTCTTATTTTGAATAACTAGAAAGAAGATTTCTTACAACATTAAAAACTGTGAAGCTTCCCCTTCTCTCCTGAGTCCTTATGTGATGCACAAAGGTTCTTGTCTTTATTTGAGGACTGGGAAGTTGTGAATTGGAAGCTGCCTTGCTGCCACTGCAGTAATGCTTTCTCTAAGTGTTCATTTGAGAGAACTTCTCAAACCCTTTGATTAAACAAGCCTTTTTGGGAGTATTTGCTGTTCATGCGACTTAACCTTTATAGATTCATCTGCAAACAAGGTGAATGCTGTTCCTGTGGGCAGAAAGTTGAGTAAGAAAGCAAAATACTTGCCCTGGAGCTGAGGCTTCCAAGAGCTGGCACTCCCAGCACATGGCTCCCATTCTTTGCCTTATCGCTGTAGATGTGGCATCCTTTGGAAGTTGTTGTTTCAACAACAGGCCCTGAATGGGTGAAGGATGAAACTGTAGCATACCTGTGAAACTGGTGTAGGTTCCAGTTTCCTTCCCAGGTGCCATATGTACCAAAACCAGGCTGGTTTTGCTGTGGGCAAATACACCTTCTCCAACTACTGTTTGGAAGGTCATCTTCTATATTTGAATGTGTTTTATCATTTAATTTTGAATTTATTTTCTACATGAAATTATACAAAGAAAGCATCAAATAAAATCCCATTATATTATTGGCATACACTAAATATTGTCTGACTAATAACTGGCTTTAGATGAAACATGAGTGCTATTCTGTAACTTTAAATGGAAGTTGGGGTTTGTCAGCTTCAATATGGGAGATTCAAACATTATTTAACCCTCAGTAAGTGTTTTTGCATTGTGTTCCTAGAATTTGCCTATACTGTTTCATTTAACAGCTGCAGCTCTCCTTTAGTTACAAAAACTAAGCAGCAGCTTGTTAACGGTGTTAAAGGACCATTTCTATTCATGGTGTGTTTTCTACAAAACAATCTGCTTTGTGCTTACTAAATTTAGTTTTAATTTGTGTGTTTTGCATTGTCAGAGATTTTTGCATTTATTTATTACAAAGGCAGAGCTGTTTATCAGTAAAGCTTCATTTCCAAACTATCTCTCTGCATGGTCTTTAGATTAAATTCCTGTTAAATATTAATATTCTCATCCTGGCATTGAAACACATAGTACCTGTCATTTTGTTTAAGAAACAGAACAAAACACCAAAACCCATTGACTTCTAAATAGTATGAAGAAGCATTGTCAGGATTTCATTCATAACTATTCCAAAAGAAAAGAATTCTATATGCAAGCATTTGCTCAAGTTAGCAGCAAACTCCTGACAAAGACTGCTTTCTTTCTGTGTTCTAGCCAGAAGCACGCAGCACCCAGAGCACAAAGGCACCCCAGGCTGGTGATTGAGGAATGTCCTTTAACATATGAAACACTGACAAATGAAGTAGTGAAAGAACTGCTAGAAAAGGTAAGGGAGGTTTTTTTCCAACTTCTCTTCAGATTTTTGTTTCTGTCATAAGTGTAAGCTACATTTAGCAGTTGTGGTTTTAGTTTTGTGTTTGTTTTATAGAAGCTACAAAACTTCTCTCAGAGTGAGAAGAGTTACTTTTTGTCAATATCTCTGTAAAGCTTTGGAAGTCTTCACTGAAAGCAAAATCAAGCTCAGTCTCTCATTATAAAACACTTGTATGATGTATGAATGTTATGTTTTTCTGAGTTGAGTACCCAAGAAGAAATGTTCTTTTCATTCTTCAACAAAAAATACAACATGTATAGGAACTAAAATAAATATTTACTTGGCACAGCTTTTGAAAGTATTGTATAGTTACATAAAACTTCTACTGAAATGCAAGTTCTAGTTCTTTTTGTGTTTAACTTCCTCAGCAGAATTGAAGACTTGCTGGAATAGGAAGCTATTGTTATTACAAGAGTTAGTGGTATCTTTTACATTAGTTGCCAAGGAGGATAGTAGAAGAAAAAGCATGTTGAAGATCTTTTTTAATGCTCTTTGAGATTTCAAGAGTTGTTTGTATTTTATAAATGGCTTGTTTTGACTTTTTTGGGTTCTTCAAATGTAAAATGTGATTACATTATGCATTTATAATATATATATACCTATTCCAGGTTGTTGGTGTAGTGTAGCAGACAGAGATTAGAAGGAAAAACACACTTGAAATGAGCAGTGATGGAGTCTTGGAAGCATATCTGTTACAGAAGTAGTATGTGAGAATAATTTGATTTTTTAATGCCCTCAGTTTTAGAAAGACAGAACCATTAATCCAGTCAAGTCTTTGTACTTTTTTTTTAAGCTCTAAAACAATCCAACTTTGTGGTGTTTCAGGAAAAAGATTTTCGTTTTGTTGGTTTTTCTCTGTTGCTTATTAATTTCAAAGCTATTTTGGCTGTCCTTGAAGCAGCAGCTCTGTATGTATGACCACAGTGATTGGCATACTGTATCATTGCTGTACATAAATAATGAGTGTAGATAGACTGAGGTGTCACTGCCATGGCACTAAAAAGGGATTGCAGTACCATCAGGTGCTTGATTTTTTTTACTCACCCTGGGGATTAATAGTTTATGTGAGTAAACTGAACAAAGATCCTTCCCCCTCTGCCCTCACTTAATCCAGTACTTCCCATGTGATGTCTTTTTCTGAGCTGAAGCTCCTCTATTTATCTGTGAGGACTTTACGCCAGAGGGGAGCATGTAATACAAGGTGTCAGTGGGGTCACCTTCCTAAATGGCAGCACTCCTTCACCCAGGGGAAAAAACAGCCCCAAGAACAGACACATCCCACAGATGGCACAGATGTTACAGTTGTGCATTGAGACTTCAGTGCCAGGAAGACACCACTGGCTGAAATAAGAGGATCTTCATTTGCTTCTATCCCTCTCCTTTCTCTGCTCCTCCACTGTCCTCAGTAATAACAAAGCTGAGCAGCCTCCAAGGGAGCCAGGGGGCAATGACTCATGCCTCATGAGAGAGATACTGGCCTCCAATACTACAGAAATGTTTTTAGTATGACTGGCATCACAAATTTAGAGAAATATTATTTATTGCTCTGCCATGCTGCTTTTCAATACAACACAGTAAATAAAGTACTTTGAGTTTGTTCTAAATGAGGAATTTTGTATACTCTGAAGTCAGTACCAGTGTTGGCCACCTTTCTTGGCCTGACTCCAAAGGCATGCTGGAAAACTTCCATTTACTTTGAAGCAGGGGCAGCATCAAAGACCAGTCATCCTTCTGAATAGTGTTAGGCCTTTATGTCCTCAGCAGTTTAGTGAAGTGGTTCATGTATGTACAAGTTTTAAAGAAGAAAAAGGTCTATGCAATTGTAAAATGACTTTGCAGCTAAGTTTTATGTTGTATTGCAGGTTAATGAAGCTGCTAAAAGAGGAAAGAAGTTTGTGGGATTTGTAACACAACATTTTCCTCATCCTAAAGCCTGTAATGGAACAAGTGCAGATGGAGGTGCAGAGCTGGAATCAACGCTGGGCAGAAGAAATAGGGAACACAGAAGAGAAAACTTTGAGGAAAGCTATAAAAACTGGAATGAAGGGACATTGAGTGGTCACTCATCTGAGAGTGGGGTAGAGGAGGAAATGCATGGAGAAAGCAGACTGTTAGAGGATTCAGATTTCCAGTTTGGAAAAGAAGTCAGCCCTTCTAAACCACGGAAAGGAGATGGTAATAAATGCTGCTTGTTTGTTGCAGAAGTAAGGTATTTTATTGAGGCATTGGAAAAAATAAAACAGTGTTTTCTGTTGTATCAAATACTAGTTTTGGAAGATGCCTCTACACATGCATATGTAAATGCATACATATTTCTAAAAGAGTTGCCAGCAAAAAAAGCAGAAGGAACACTCACCTTCTGTTTTATGTATGTGAACTGTAGTAATATATTGAAATCATATTTCAGTTTTCATATAGACCATTGTAGATGTGCTGTCAGAATTCTAGTTTGCAATTTAAAGAAAAAAAAGAAAACCACAAACAAACCCCCCAAAATCACCCACAGTGTAATTGTGGCTTGAAATGTGGCACATTTCAAGGTTTTTTGCTCAATATGTGTATAACAAACATGTGGCAGTAAAAATCCTTCCTTTTAGAAGGATGCAGTTGTTATAAAATATTTTCTGGAATGCACACGTAGGTTTACTCAATATAAAATTATAAACACGTAATGATTTCAAAGTATACATTGTGATTCCAGTTGTGCCTGTTTCAAAGATGACAACAAAGAGAGCCCCTTCCAGCTGGAGCCATAATTTTACATGCTTCCAGGCAACTCACATAATGTACACCAAATAAATCCGTTCATAATGGATTCTTTCTGGTTAATGTGCCTTCAAGAAGTGTCCTGAAAGAGATCACTGAAATTAATGCATTGACCATGAAATCGAAGACAATAATTGTTACAAAATGAATTTCTTAGAGAAAAGTAAGCATTAGAAGTATAGGAAGGAAAAGCATAATTGAAAAAATGCTGGTGCTGTGATAGACTACTTTGTTGTAGAAGGATGAGGTGCTTGGTGTAGTCTGTGCAAAAAATTGTCTGAAACATTGACTTCTGGTTCTGAAACTCTTAAGGCCTCCTGGCTGCTAAGAGGAAAAGGTAGAAAGAAAGAAGTAATCTGAGTAAGAGAACTAATGCAAGACAGAATTGTGTGGAAAGCAGGCAGCATGAAAATTTCATGTCAGGCTGCATTCCCTGATGAGCCAGACATGTTTTAATTGCTCTCAAAAGCAACCTTTTCACTTTCCTGTTAAAGCAGCTCTCCAGTTTGTAGACTCTAAGAATGATGACTCTAAGAACAGAGATAATCAATGTCCCTCTTATTTTTAACACTTGAGTAAAAGCAGTTTTTCTACAAGTGAGCCTTTATAGCATAATGTTGTAAAGCTTAACTCTTCTCTTACAGCTTGAAATAGTGGGTTTGCTATATATTAGCAGTCCTGTAAGGAAGAAGTGGAAAACTGGGTTCTGTTCAGGAGGGAGCAGTGTTTGTACAGGCTGGTGTGACCAGGTAGATCAGCAGCCAGTGCATCCCCTACGTGCAGTGTTCTCAGGAAACGTCAGAAAGCTTAGGAAGGATATGCCAGGCTTCTCTACACTAGTCAAATAGAAAGTCACTGGAGTTCATGAGATAAAACTTCCGGAAACTTAACCACCTTTCTTGGTCTATGTTTTATGTAACCATCATTTTGAAAAATACTGTTGTGAATTTTCCAAGGCAGTCTTGCGTGTATGTAAGTATGTACTGCTCTGCCAGTGTGCCACTTCAATTTACCTCTGCTCAAAAGAGGCAAAAAACTATGCCCAAGTCATAGATTTGGGGAATTTTTACTGTTCTGTTGCTTTTTGAACTATTGTATTGAATTTTGACTATAATACATTGCTTGCAGAGGTAAATTTCTGGTAGATGTGAGGAATTGAATAGTTGTATTGGGAAACAATTTTCTTTTTCTGTAGAGTAAGGGATCTCACTTCAATAGAGGGTAAAAGAAATTAAGGTTTGTCATGATAAACACATCTATTGTGATGTAAGCACCTGTGAAAGTGATAAAACTGTATAAAGAGTTATCTCTTACTGAAAGCTCAACATTTTGTTCTGAATTTCCCTTATTCTGGGCACATGATGTCGCCTGCAGTGAGTGTAGTAACACTTCTCAAAGCAGAGAGGGATTCTTCCAGATATTGGTTCAGATTACTTGCAGTGCAAATCCTATTTTGGAAATTTCTGTTTCTGGAGCCTAGAGAGACTGACTTCTTAAGTGGGGTCATCTTAGCAAATTCCTTTGTTTGGACAGTGCAAAAACTTTGATATTTAGAGGTTGGTTTGCATTGATTTTGGCTGACCAGCAGTATTGGGCAATCCAAGAATATTTCTGGGCAGCTGCTTTGTGTTACTTCTCTACACCAGTGACCACAAGTGTATTTGTAGAACACACTCACATAGTTGGGGTTTCATTACTTGCATCAGTGATTTCTTAATATGCTATGGCTATGTCAGTTGTTAGTGAGTGCTTGTGTGGGACTGATTTTGTTACAGCACTGCATTAATACCTAGACAGAAAACCAATTGAAAGATAAATTTTTGTATCCTTAACTTCCACTGATCCATCATCATTTTATTGTGGGAAAATCCCAGTAAGCTAAGCAACTAATTACACTGATACTTCAGAGAATAATGGGTTAAAGCCAGTGCAAGGCATTCCTTACTTTTGCAAGCTTAGAAAATTGTCTTTTGTTTTTATAGTTGCTAGTAATTGTAGCCAGAAGTTCCACAAGTGGCAGAAATGAAGGCTGTTTGCACTGGTTTTTCTTAGTCCTTGTATGTTCTCTTTATGCAAACCCCAACTACCTGAAGAATTCAGTGACAGCCCAGCTGTAATAAGTTCCCATTTTCCTTATATCCCAAAGTGTACCACCCCTCACACCTTGTCCTGAGTGTGTTTAGGTCTTAAGCAGAGCAATGTTAAGAACCAATTATTAAAACTGTTGCTTAGAAATAGAAAATTATGTTAAAATAGGAGATTAGTAATATTACAAATTTTGGAGCACTGTCTTTGAAGTTCATTCTTCCTTTCTTTCTCCTTAGACAAGCTCTATACAGTCTTCAATGTTTTTGATGATGATTCTACCTGCTGGACCTACCATGAAGGTGTTTTGTCTATGAAAGTAACAAGAAAGGGGCCAGTTGTTAGTACACTGGAAGCAGACTGGCTAGAATTAACTACATTTTATTATAAACAAGGATTGGCCTTAGTTGATTCTTTTGTACACTGGGAAACTTCTAAAGGTGAGTACTGTCCCAGGGTATCATGAAGCTTTTGCTTGTTCACATAGAACTATGTAATTTGAAAAAAATTATGATTATATTTTGCTTCTTGATGGGAGGGTATATATGTGACTATGTCAAGATGGATCTGTAACTGCCCAGAAAATAAATTACTCCCTTTTAGGTATCAGATTCCACAAATTTATAGTGGACGAAGTAATTGAAATTCTTGCTTTGTTTTATCAAATTGCCAATTTCCAAAGCAGCAAACTAGAGCAGCTTTATAACAAAATCAGCCTTTTGTGCTAGTTCTTCTGGTTGGGTTTGTGCTTTTTCAAGGAAAAGACAATAGGATTAAATGTGTTTAGAACTCTTGAACTCTGTTGCTGGTAAAATATGTAATTGAGAAATTCATTTCCATTTGAATTGGATTTGTCTGAAAGCCAGAAGTTAAAAGTGTGCAAAAACCAGTAGTAACTACTGTTATACAATTACTTGAAAAAAGTGAAGAAAATTGTAGTTCCCTAGTGTTAGGAGTACAGACCAAAGCAAACTGAGATGATTAATAAATTCCAAAACAATTAACTATTTTAACAAATGTTGTTTGATAGCAAACCTACGCTGTATACTTCACCAAGGTGATGCTTTGGTTGCATTTGTACCTGTCTTGCTTGTACTAAGTTGCAATTTGTTGATGTTCCTTTAGACTTAATTATTGCAGTGTAAGCAAGTGAAGTACGGGGTTGCAGTAGAGAAATGTCTTGTCAAATCTTAGTTGAAAAGGCTCCAGGGACCTTAAACAGTTTTTTGTAATGCTCAGGATGATTAACAAGTGTAATAGATAATTAATAATGTATTAAAGTGGCTTTCATAAGTCACTTTGTCTTAATTATACGAGGAGGTAAAACTACTGTCAGTTTGAGCAGCTGCTGTATTTACTATGCTTTATCCTTTTTTTTGATAATTTTGATTTAAAACAATATGAACTCTTGGATTATTGAAGGCCTTAATGTAAAAAAAACCTGCAAAACACAAGATCTTTGCAATTTAAATTATGATTCTTAAAAAACAAAAGCCTGACACTAATGACAACTCTTCAGTTTTCATTGCTCTCCATGGTTCTGAGTGTGAATCACAGTGTTTCTGTAGCTCTGCAGTAAATTTTGTGACTCAGAGGCACATAAGCTCATCAATGTAGATTTACTTCTGATAGAATTTGGCGGCTAGTCCCTCTCAAACTGCATATTTTGTGCACATGAATAGTCTAATGCCACAGTTTGTAGCAGTCATCTTTTTTACTCTGAAACTGTTACTCCTTTTTATTGAAATCAGTGGAACAACCAAATTTCCTTCTGTGGAAGAGAGGTGGGAATTCAGACCTCTAGTTTTCATTATGAAGTTTTTTTAGAGCTGGAAAAGAACTCTCTGGAGATCTGTTACAGTTCACTGAAGGGTGGTTTTGCAGCTGTTGAAATTAATCTTTGCAGCTGTTGTCCAACAACAGTTTTACAGTGTTCCATTCCCCACAGAGAGAGCTGTCTGCTCTTCTTTGCATGAATAACTCCTCGTCTTTAATACCCAGGTAATAACATATCTCATCCAGTATTGGAGGGGATTTAATGCTGATATTCTGAGGATTACATGATTTTGCTGTACCAGTTTAGTTGGTTAGTCAGCTGTCAATGTGAATCTCCACAAAAGGCTTCCCAAAGGCTGTTAGGAGGAGGAGAACCAGAAACTGAATCTGTATTTGATGCACAGCTTTAGTTTGGGCCAAACGGATGCTGCTGGCCTTTGACATGTGAGTCAGGCACTTGTGCTCTGAACTTCCTTCCCATCAGGAATCCTCCTACAATTACTTGTTCAGGCTCTTCCTGTGGCCATTTGTGTATTTAAGTGGCTGTAGTTGAGCTTTACACTTCATGGTTCACTCATTTTTGTGCTGTCTCCCACCACACCAAAAGCCACATGTCTTGTCAGGAGGACAATATTGAAGTTGAGGAAAAAAGGGTTGTGCCCATCCTCTGTAATGGATATGTTGAATACAGGGAACTGGAATTGATACTGGAGTATGGAAGGGGTTAATGCTTTTGAGACAGTTGTTCATAGTTCAATTTGTGTAGAAAAAAAGGGATTTTAATAATAAGTTGACTTGCACACTCCATAAATAACCACAAATTTGAGTTTGCTGAGTCATTTAATTTTATTTTAGAGAACTGTTCAGTGAGAAAGAAACCTCTTGTGTACATCTTGTTAATCTATCAACCTAAAACTTAATGCTTATGTTTATGTTCACAGGGGATTATTTGCCCAAATCTTTAGAAGGATTATTTATCTATGAAGAAGAAGGTGCTGGGGTTCCAGGATCTACCAGGAAAGGAAATGATGCAATAGTTGTTGAACAATGGACAGTCATTGAGGTAAATAGGTGATGATTTAGCAGTGCTATTTCCTCCTGGTATTTTTCTTTGTTTTTTCCTTTAGGATGCTGGTACCAGTGTTCCATAAGCATTCTGGATGGTTTCCTGAAGTCACCTGCATAGGCTTTACTAAAGCCCCAAATGATAAAAATGAAATCACATTTGTGGGCATTGGTAAATGTGCGTAAAAGAAATATGCCAGAGGAATTCTGGCCTGACATTTGTAAATGTTCATACCAACAAGTACCACTACCAAAGAAAACATCTTGGGGGATTTTTTCAGACTAATTTAGGTCTAATTTCAGCAGGTGCAGGTCACTTTTTTTTTTTAAAGGAGGAGAAAATAGCCAGATCTAGAAAAACAAGAAGAGAAAATTGCTAGTAAATTAATTCAGTACGATGTTCAGATATGTGTTTTTACTGCTAAATATGGAAGACTTGGGTTTCCTAATAAATTTACATCTGCTGCTGTAGTGGGTTACAGCAATAAAATTACTTAAATTACTCTGTAGAAATATTCTTATCATTTAGGATTATTGCTATGAATGACATCTGAAAGCACTTGTTGTTGGATTATGTTGTTGGATTTTCTTACTTGTGAAATATCCAATGATAAACACATTTACAAATGTGAAAAAAATTAACATCAAACTGAAGACTTGTATGTTTCAGAAAAAAAGACCACCACCAAAAAACCCACCAAAACCTTAAGTATGTAGCTAAGTGAAATGCTTATTTTTCATATGTGGAGTAAATAAAGATGTCAATTGAGACACCTAATTATGATGCTTTAAAAGTTTTAGGCACTAATTTAACGAAGTGACAAGTTTAATGGATGAGATGCTTTGAATTATGTCTTGATGAGTCAGAGCTCATACCTAATGTTAATAAATTCAGTTTTCCATGGATTTTGTAGTCTTGAACTTCTCAAGTTGTTTTCAGTTTGAAATAATGAATCTCTACCAAGCAACAGTTTGATGTCATCTTAAAGGATTATCTCATTAAAAGTGAGAGAGGGGAGGTGTTGTAATTGTGTAGAAATGCCAATAAAACCTGTACAGAGTCTCTTTACTACTTTTTATGATTATTAATGTAGGGGTGTGAAATTAAAACAGATTATGGACCTTTACTGCACACGCTGGCTGAGTTTGGATGGCTGCTGACCTGTGTCCTGCCTACACCCATTGTACGACATGACAGGTACCCAGACTCTTGATTACAGCATTCTTGGTGTGTATGGCTGAGAATTATCAAATAATTACTTGCATACTTGAATGTAAAAGGAAGAAAAATGCTGCTGATGTTAAATGTATGTGAAGCTTGAGATGTAAGTAGCATTTTCATGAGGGCTTTGCCATATCTGCTTAGGACTACTGATTTCAGTGATTCTAATTCTAAATTTAAAATACATTGTGTAAATCTAAACATGAAAGATTTTATGTAGGAAACTTTTTATCACATACCCAGTCCACAGCAATGGGGGTTACTTATGCTTCAACTAGAAACAAGTGTTGAAATATTTCACTATTTTAGGACCTTGGTGAATGACTGATTTAGACCATGGAAAAAGCCATGTTGTCACAAGACAGTCATGGAGTATTTGTTGCAAATTAGGGCAGAGAATGTGCTAATCCAGCAAGTTATTGGGCTGTTTCTCCTCTCTAATATAGACACTATGGTTCAACTCAAATACAATACCAGACTACTGGATTTCAGGTCTCTAGCTGTAATGCTTATTTAGAGCATTGATGGGACTCTTTTCTACCTAAGAAGAGCTAAATTGCAGACCTGGATTCCCCATAAGGTTCCAGGCTTGCTTTTTTTCTTCTTTTCCTTAGATAACCCCTCCCAAAACAAGATACAACACTAGATGAAGCATTCTTAATGCCTCCCTTCTCTCATCTTTTTTTAAGTTCTCCACCCATTAGAGTAAGATTGCCAAACTTCAAAAGCAAACAAATGTACTGAGGCAGGGCTTAGGGCTCATTAACAGCTGTGGAAAGAGTGGATGGCTTGAGTAATCTTTGGATCCCAGGCCTCACTGTGTTAAATCAAGACAGCATGAAAAAGATGTGCATGGAAGATTCTAAGAAAACTGTTGCAAGAAAGTAGAGTTCTGCTTAAGTGATTTGGCATAATTAAATCAACTCACCCCATGTAAGAAGGAGGCTTTTGGAAATAGGTGTTGGGGTTTTTTGGAAGTGTTTTTTCTAATAGTTGACTTTTCCCAACTGGTTAAATGCAAAGACAAAAGAAGTTGTGGTAAAATATGGCATGTTTTGTACCCTTTTTTTTTGAGAGTCTCTGTTTTGCTTTCCTCTGGAAGAAGTGGTTTCCAGAATATGAAACAAATGGTTATCCTTTAATTTCTTCAATAATTTTGTAGTCTAAGTGTATTAGCTTTGAACATAGTGACTTATAGACTATATGAACTACCAGGCCTGGTGTTCATAAACAGCTGAAATTTCAGCCAAATCGTGGTGCTTGAGAGTAAGTCTTCAGAATCTGGGTATAATCTTTGAAGGATGGCAGGGAGATTTTAGTCGTCATGGTGTGTTCTGAGTCATAGGATGAGAGAATATTGAACTTCCAACCTTTTGTGTCCCACAAGCCTTGTAACTGAACCCATCCCACAGGGTTTGGACAGCAGGGTCAGGAATGTCCTGAGCAGCTGCTGAGTGACACTGGGAGTGTCAGCCTGTGCTTGCAGCACATCAGATGGTGCTGGTTTGTACCTCAGAGATCACAGAGCCAAGGCAGGGCCAACTGAAAGATGCAAAGTGCTGTAAGGAAAATAAAAATAGGATGCAGTGCTGTAGGAAGCATTAACAGATTGATTAGGCTGGGGCTGTTCCTTGAATCAGTGAGAATGTACCAGGAAGATATTCAGGTCTCAAGCAGTGCTGTATCCCAGATGTGAAACAAGCAGAGCATTAATTGCAGTGCCCATGCTAAAGGGATTCTATCCTGGCCAAATCTGAAACTGGGTTCATTTTGTACCCACGCCAGAGTAACTCAGCCTAATAAAAACCATTTGTTTTCTGGCCTAAATGGTTGAGTAGGACTTTGTATGAATTGTCTAATGCTTGTTATCCCATTGTAGCTTGTGAGTTACTCTTGGAAGAAATAGGATGAGTCATGCTTTGTGTGCCTGTAGTGTATCTCATATACAGCAATTCAGTTTGCTTTTAAAAAAGGAAAAAAGCTTATGAACAAGAATGCCTAATTAGGGATTGAGAATTCATGAGAATCAGAAAATTAATGTCTTCCTGTTTTGATAGGCTGAGTCGTGATTGATAACTACTATTTTTAGGCAATGATGTTGGTATTTAAAGAGGAGAAGAAATTCCTGCACGGTTACTGTGTGTCTGCTATGAAAGATGCCATTACTGTGGTGGTGGTGGGTCATCCTAGGAATGCAAAAGTCTTAATAAAGAAGGACACTTTATGCTGATCAACAGCTGGTTTTTTCCCCAGACTCAAAACTCTGACCTCAAAACCCAGCCTGAATATTAAGAGGTTTCAGAAACAGTGAAGAAACTAAATAAGCAACAACTCGGAATGATCTGACAAAATTATGTTTTCATGTTTACTTTTAAAATAGAATTTTTGCATAGCATTTAAAGAAAATTTATCTATTATCCCCATTTTTACTCACTGTAGTATTTTCCTCTGTCTTCCTTTTCTCCTAATTTATTGTAAAACTTGCCCTCATGTCAGATCTTTTGTGAGTATTTGCTTGTAAATTGGTATTACTGCAGTTTTTAGTAGTACCATGAGTTTGTAGAAGTCCATACATGTTTGTCATTGAAAACTAGAATTACTTTTAAGGCTTTTTAAATTTTTCATTTAATAGTACCTTTAAGCCAGGACATTTAGTATCCCAGGCTGGTGTCTGTCTCCAAACTGAAAGTCTAGATGCTACCCAGTTCCAAAGGAGTGCAAAGTTATATTTTTTTGAGAAATGAAACTACCCACAAAAAGGACACCTGCATACATGAAAATAATTTTTCTTATTCCCTTTGGTCATTTCCAGAAAATCTTGTCTAACATCTTTTCTAAATGTTTTTTACATCAAACATTCATGCATTAAAAAATGGATCTGTAAAAGCCAGAGCCATTGGCAGTACTACTGAGCTTGTAGCTTCATGGTGTTTTGGAGATCTTAAATACAGACGTGTAAGAGGACACAGTTTTGCCCATACAGCATAAGCAGACAAACAAATTGCTGGTGTTTCAACAAAAGAGTCTCTGTTGCTCTTCACCACTCTTAAAAGAAGAGACAGGAAAAAGGCTTCAGCAGCCTTACTCTGCAGTGACCTTTATTTCCCTTCCCTGATTGCTGTAGTCCCTGAAATGGCCAGGGCAGGCTATGGGCAATGCACTGCAGAAACACTGACTTTATGGTTATGCATTTATCCTGGCTCACCACTTAATCTGTATTTTCAAAATGCCCTGACTTATGCGGCAAAGAGGGGATGTAGAAATGTGAGAGAAACTGTGGAGCTTCCCTTGCTCTGAGCACTTTTTCTCATTTAAATTCTGTGGAAATCCCACTGTCATTGAGTTCTTTGTGAATTAAGCTCATAGCTGCTTTGTCGTGTGCGGCATTTTAATAAGGTCAGACTTAGAAATTTGTTAATTTACTTCTTGTCTACTCACCATCATGTCCTTTTTCTGTTCTAGTAGAATTTGTACAAGCTGTAGCTCAGTGTTTGGGTTTTTTTCTTTTCTCTGTAGGAATGCAGACACTGTTACAAAATAAGCCTTAGGCTCTTCCCCATGCCAGAGACTGTGCTCAGATTTGTTGCTTGGAAGAGACATTTTTCAGTTGATCAAAAGAGACGTAACTGAGGCACAGAGAAATACCTAACCAAGTGGAATAAGGTTGCAGGATTGCAGGTTTCCTTGTATTGACATAAAATCTAAACACTTTCTTTTAATGAATGCAAATAGTGAGGTAGGGACTCCTGGAACAGGAAACCTTGTTAGGCTTAAGGAAACGAATGAATTTGTTCTCCTGCATTTTTGTTTTTCCCACAAGCTGGAGTTTTAGTTTTCTGTTCTCATCCAAGGAATACATGCAAAGATATGCTGTGACCTGAGTTGAGTCAGACTGAAAAAAAGATTGTGAGGGACCAAACAAAATCACAAATCCATCATGACTAACTATTGATCCGAGTGGCTGTTTATGCTGAGAATAGTACTGGTTTGTGTACTTTCTCAGAGCTTACTTCCAGAAGCTTTACTGGGGCAGGCTGTTGACAAGCTCTTCTGAGCTCATAGGAACAGGTCTAATCCCTGGTTTTTCTTGGAGCAGGTCCCTGATGTTAAATACAAAATAATTTTCAGTTGTGAAACATGCACCAGTTGCCTTGACTTCATATGGGTGGTGTTTGATCTTGTGAGATATCCATACTGAAGTAAAAGCTTACATTGTTTTAGTAGTTCTTAGAAATGTTATGCATAATAACACAGTTTTATGGTTGATAGAATAGGTAGAATCATAAATACTTCAAATGAACTGCCATGTCTTTGATGTTTCTGTTTTGCTACTCATTTAGTGCACTATTAAATATGTAGTCACCCTTTGGCCAAACAATTTCAGTGTTTTACCTTTATATGCTTAAAGATCTTACTGAATACTGGCCAAAAGCAGCTGAGGGGAGAAGAACTTATAAAAATATAGTATCTGACATTTAGAAGAAAACAGGAATTTTTAAAATCTTCTTATTCTGGAGTTCTTGTCCTGAAATTGTTTCACTTTCAGTGACATGGAGTTGGAGTTTGTATTACATGTCCTATCAACGTGGTGACATGTATTTCTGGTGGAAAGCTGATGGAAATACATTAAAACTTACAGGATGTATTTATCACCACTACTAAGGGGGTGTAGTGCTTATGAAATATCATATCAGTAATATCTGGTCTGGGGAGCAGCTTCACTTGTCGTGTTTATTTTTCTACAGAATTCCCTTTTGGGAAAAAAAGAAACACCTTTGCTTTGTCTACCATAGCAGTATTAACATCTGTAAAAGTTCCAGGACTGAAGTTGCTCTTCTTTTTTTCCCCCCTTCTTTATTTTTCTTACCAAATATTCTCTTGTCCTGCCTATGCTGGTACCTCCCTCATACAAAACATCTGGTGTCATTCATCTCAATCTTGATGCAAAGCTTAATAAAACTGAGCTGAAGCCCTTTATCCATAGGTGGTGAGGCAGCAAGCTTATCCTGCTGTGTCAATTTGATGACATTTTACAACTTTTATTTAGCAGTAAAGAATGTTAATTCCCAAGTTTCATACCGCAAAGTATTGAGAGATTTGCTGAAGCTATGGATCTATTAAGATTGGGCCTGGTTGTGGTTCTATTAATAGGTAGTAATATGTTGCTGTGTATTTAACAGTGAAGGTTAAGTTCAAAAAAGACTTGTGAAGGTTTGATTCAGATGTAACTGTGCAGACTTGGATTACAAGCAGGAGCTCTGATATTTAAACTTGCAAGAGCACACATGTTAAATAACTCCAGTCATGGTAATACAAGTTACTGGTCTGTCCCTATTTTCATGTGCATCACTTTAACCAAGTCCTATGCTTCTATTTTTAAAAAAATATCATTATAAAACTATTGAGGAATTAATAAACTGGATAATACTCTAGTCTGTCCTCTTCTCACTTGTGAACTTACACCCACCCTAAAGTTGACTTCAAATATGTTAGTGACAATATTGCCTTTAAAACCTGGAAAACTATTTTCTTTAAATTTCAGTGAAGGAAATCTGGCCACAAAGCAAGTAATTTTTCTTCAGAGACCTGTTATGTGGAGTTCTGCTGTCCAGACACCAGAGGTGAGTAACATTTTTGTGGTATTAATATTAAAAAAATTACTACTTCACATAATGGTAAGATACAGAAACAAACTAGATTTGAGAATTAACAGGGGAAAGAACTGGCAGAACATGCTTTCCCTGCAAATGAGTTCAGGTTTGTGGATGTTTTTTGCAGCTGGATCACGTTATTTTTTTTCCTCAGCTGTTATCTCTTAAGCCATAGAGAAAAGCATGAGCAGGCTAAAAGCCTGTTTTGTGCTAAGGAATTACTGTGTCTCAGGTGAATGTGTTTGGCTATGCATTATTTCCCTGGAAGTCTTTAGGGTGTCTGATCAAAATCCTGCATCTCTTGCACATGAAACAGAAAACTGTTTTGACCTTCAAAACGTCAACTTTCACATTTTTAGAAGAAAGGAGTGTCAAGCTATGCTCTAAGGGATACAGTAACCTGCAGGTTATCAGGGTGAAGGGCTGTTGTTGCATGAAAATTTGTGACAGAGATAGAGGCTTTAAAATTCCTGCAGCTGAACCTCAACAACTGCAGGAATTGCAGTTAAACCTCAACAACCTTGTCCCTTTTGGGTGGAGGTTGTATCAAGTGCTTTGAGGATTAAGTGACTGACGGTCTCCACATTCTGCTCCAAGTGTCACAATTCCTGCACCAGCACACTGCTGCAGTAAATCCTGCTGTGGCCAGAGAAGGGGGAACTCCTGGTGGACTTTTCTTTGCCAGGTCTTTTGACATACTGTGATGGGTTTCCATTTTTGGTTCTTTCTCGATTTCAGTGGCTGATCAGCCTTTCTCTATTCAACATGCCTTTCCTGTGATAACCTTAAGCAGTTAGGAAAGCTGTGAATGTTTTCACTCACGTCCAGCAGTGGAGTGGTAACTTCACAAACTCATTCGTGGCATATAATTATATGGCAGTGATACCAAGCTGTTTCTTTCTCTATTTATATGAATATTTCCATAATTCTTCATATTTCTTGCATTTTTATTTGATCTCTCTCTGTGTTTTTTTTAACTGTCTGTTCAATGTGTTGCCATCATCTGTGTTTTCCTTTGTTTAGTGCTTCTAAAATATACTCTTCCTTTTTTTGTTCTTCTCCAGGCTTCTGCTTATCTCCAGCCTAACTTCCTTCTCAGTGTGTCCCCTGATAATTAGTACTTCCATGCCTGGAAGAACTTGCCTTCAACATGTACACTTCAAGCCCTGTTTGTTTTTGTCTCTGCCACTGTCTCAGTTCCCAGTAGTTCTCGTATGCTATAATTTATTTCTTCATTTTTAGAATTGGAGCTTTTGCTTTTTTGCTCTTCAGAGTTCTGTGTAGTCTCCTTTGCCAGTGTCTTTATCTCTCTCCATTCATACCCTCTCCTAAATTCTGCCAGTGGATTTTTTTCCCTAACCACCCACTGTGTCAAAAGCACCTCCAGCTTTTATCTCTAAAACTTTCTGACTTCCTCTCACATGTCTGACTTACTCTCACATGTCTGACTTAGTAGTTTTTACTTCTTTTTCTAATTCATTTCTGAAAGTATTTTTTGGACCACAATTTTTGATAGCAAAATTGTAAATGTATAAAGCAAAATCATGCCAGCCATAAAATAATGCTTCTCCTGATGTTTCGTAATTCTTCAATACTCTGTATATAATAAGGGCATGAACTCCTGATACTTTAACCCTTGGGAAGGCATAATGTCACTTCTAACTATGTGTCTTAAAAGGCAGTATAACTGTATGTCACAAGTTGGATTCTGCCAAGAGATGTAATACAAACCAGTTCTGTAAAAACATTCAGTCTCAGGAACTGATGAATCTTTGAGACATGGCTTAAATTAAAAATAGGAAGCATTGTACTCACTGTTTAAATTCTTTCACCCTCTTGTAGAATGATGAGCAGCCTTGGGTATACAAATAAAATGTGTTTTGTAGTTGTTGTTTTATTGTTGTTGGAATGGGAAACATTTGACTTAAGCATTAAACATACTCAAAGTAAACAAGAAATAGCTGTTTTGCAGCTGTTTACATCAGGATTTCTATGTTTGAAATCTGAACAAATTTTTTTTTTTCAGTACCAGTGAGTGTTTTTCTTCTCTACCAGAAATTTCGTTATGCTGAGGTCATTTAGCTTGGGCTAAATAGGTAACTGGGCTGAAGCTGAAACATTTAGCAGAGTTACATTTTCCTTCTGTTTTGCCAATTGCGTTGGTTTTCACCATAATTTTAATCCTCCATTACTTGGTCTCTTACTCTCACAGGGTTTCTTTTCTGAGGATGGAGGATGTTATGTCCTCACAGCTCATCTCTCTGCCTTCTTATATATCTGTGGGGCAGTGAGTTATGGCCTGGCTTGTGGTTTATGTGATAGTACAAAAGCCTCTTGGGTTACAAGGGCTGTACTGTCTCTGTGGACTTTCTGTTTGTCACAAACCATTTGTCTTTCTAAGAAAGGGTTCAGAGGATGAAATGCAAGATTGAACCATGCAGTGCTTGAGGGGGTTGTTTTTTTCTTTTCTCTTTTTCTTTATTTCCCTTAAACAGATTTTTCCACCCTCTTTCTGTGACGTCCAGGCAAAACTTATTTCCTTCTGTTTCTCCTGAGGCAGTGCTGTTTCCCTTTGTTTAATTTCCCAGTGTTCCCTGTAACAGCTTTCCTAAACATGTTTCCTTTAGCCACATAGGCCATTGTTTTTACTGTTTCAGCAGGGTTTGAGAAAAAGCTTAGCAATGTACAGAAGGGGGACACAAACTTGCTGAAGCATAGTAAAAGTCTGTAAAGTGTTTGTGGAGGTTTTTTTAAGTGTCTGCACTGTGTCCTTCTTACGCTAAAATGCAGCTCTGTGCTGAGGCTGGATTCCCTCTCAGCTCCATGTGCTCCTGCTGTGGGCAGGGCAGTGTCCCCTGGCAGACATCTCCTGGTGTAGTTGTGCCTATGCTGAGAGCAGGGCTCTAGGCAGGTGGCTCAGGGCACTCCTGCCTTGCTGGCCCTGCTCCTCTGTGTGGCTCAGGGCACTGACTTTATCTCTGGAGGGGCTGCACCATCACAGATCTCAGGAACTCAGGTAGCTCCTGATGCTGAACTGAGATAAGCCCTTTATTTATTGCCTCAGAGGACCCTTAGCACAGTCTGGTAGCTCTATCATTTGCAGCAATCATGATCTGCTGACTTTCCCTTTTGACATTGGCAACCATCACTTCAACAGCAAAGATGTCAGGCAGTCCCAATGATAAAGTCAGACTGTATTAATCCTGAGTTCCTCCTGTGCAAGGACTTTGTAGATCCCATTTCAAAGGGCTGTATAGAGCAGCCACTGACTTCTATCTGCATAGATTTACCATGGGAATGGGAATTGCCTCCTCAGATAATGGCAATCTCCTGTTTCTTGAGAGTTGCACTCGTGATTAAAATGCAGCTACACCAAATTTATCCATGATCCTTGCAAAGTGTTTGGCTCAGTTGTTTTTCCCTAAATAAACTAACATTTCAACTTTCTCTCATTTTTCAGAGGAAATCCTTAAGACAGATAACTGGGGAAGAAAAAGGCAGGGTGTCCAGCAGAAGTGTTGGATCAGACACACCTACTTTCTGCCCTGTAGAAACTGGACAACCACCTGATGAGTTTCACCTATCTCCTTCTAAGCAATGTTGGATCAAGGAGGGATCTTCCCATTATGGAGGCTTCCCAGGATTCAGTAGCAGTGATGGAGTATTAAGGGAACTGGATGATGGACAATTTGACCAGGAGGATGGAGTCACTCAGGTCACATGTATGTGATAAGTAAGTAACTGCATCAAATGGACATGTACATAAATCACACAAATGGGTTTTTTAAAAAAACCTACACTACTTTAAATACATTGGTATAATCCTATGACTGTTCCCAAACTCTTTTTTGTATTTTTGTCATTTTCCATGTTGAGTTAATCCTACTGTAGTAATAATACTACTGCAAAATAATTTGTTTTTCTGTCTGTCTTTAATAGTATAACTACATGACGTGGGTGCTCTGCTAACTTGTTAATGCTTTTGACAAGCAAGGAAGCAAAAGCTGCAGAACAGTGACAGTTTGAATTGTGTGAGAGAGAAAGGAATGAGGATGTTTAGAATTTTCCACAAGCTGGAGGAATGCTTTTGGGTTTGTTTGGTTGTTTTATTGTTGGGGGTTTTTAAGGATGTTGTAAATATTGGTGGGGAAAAATGAACTGTCTGGCTGTTGTTTAGTTTTTTTAATATAATTTTCACTTTATTTGCCTTGCCTAAGTTCAAAAGCCTAAAGAAATGTCAAGTCTTACAGTAGAGTGTTAATAATTTAAGCTACATTCAGACTTGGTATGGACAGGAAGCTGTAGGTAGGTAACTTGTTCCTGGAATATAACTTCACCTATGCGGTTTTCACAGAGTTCCTTGTACTTGTAAGCCAGGAGTTTATAACTTGTATTATAATGATGTGTTCATAATGTACTTCTGAGTGGAAATTAAGAACTGCTCATCCCCTGAAAGATTAACTTGCAGTCTACAAACAAGTAGTTTGAGAAGCTCCCTAGGAAGCATTGAGAGCAGTGTGATGCTGCTGATGCATAGGAGGAAGAGGTAGGCTGAACTTCATAGGCAGTATTAGATGGGTGTATATATAAAATGTCTCAGCTAAATGTATCTCACACTGGATAAAGTGTATTGAGCTGCATCCAATACCAGACTTGATGTTCAGAGGAAAAGATCAAGTTGCTGTGCTTCCATCCTTATAGGGAGGGGCTGCTTGCATTAAGGGAGATTAATGCTGGTAAGGTGCTGTGGGGAGGGGAACAAACAGCAACTGCTTTTATGCTGCTGTCTGGAAGGTGTATTTTACAGAGGACAAGCCAAATAAAAATGCATCTCCAGAAGGTAAATGTGATTATAACTACCATGTGCGTTTTTAATTTAGTTCTAGAAGCAAAAAAAAATTATAAATGCTCATCATCTCTAAGCTAGTGTAAAATATTTTGGTCAAAATAAGTCAGAACTGAGCAAATGTATTCATAACTCCACTCTGTGTTTGCAGTACAGCACACACATCACCCAGGGATTTTGGGATTTTGGTACCTGTCTTTGTGTGTTGTGCTGCAAACATAGATGTCATTAATCATTTACCTACAACACCCCATTCCCCATGGATGGCATCCCAGCAGCTGCTGTGCACTCTGCCTAATCCACAGTGGTAGATGCTGGCACTAAATGCAGTGGGCAGATTAATGCAGTGACTGGAACACCAACAATTAACTCCAAATAAGCACCCCAGGAGATGGCCAGGATAGTGGAGGTTCAGCTGCAGTCTCAGAGCTGTGCAGCAAGAACATAGCTGTTTATTTCAGTAAGCAAAACTAATTAATGCGAAAAAAAAATATAATTTTATAGGGCAGGGGGTGTAGGGGGAAAACCCATTCTACTGACATAATTAGCATAGGGGGAGCTTAAAATAATATTGATTTAGAGCTGCTTCCTGAGCTACTTACAAAATTCTTACTGGCAGGCTTGCTTATTTTTTCTTTGAAAGAACAACTGTTACCTGTAGCAGGTTGGGAGGTTTTCTTCCCAAAAAAATCTACAGCTCTGGAGATTAAGCTTCAGCTACTTTTTCCCATTGCATGCTGTGGGGAGTGATGGGAGCACCTCCAACAGGAGGTACAGTAAGGAACCCCTCTGGCAAAGGCTCTTTCCCAGCTTTCCCACCAGCACCTCCAGGTCAGGGATGTGGGGCATGAGCCTTGTGCTCATTCCTGTCTGGGGCACTGAGGGAGGAGGATCCCTCTGCTGGGCTGGGTGTCCCTGCAGAGCCTGCCCAAGGTGCTGCTTTCTCTTGTGGCATTTCTCAGGGAGCACTGGTCACGCTCACAGGCAGCAGGGATCTCCTCCATGGGACACAGATGGGCAAGAAATATGAAATACAAGTTACAGCTGTCTCTGGCAGAAAGCCAGGTAACTCTAGCATGTTAAAAATGGAGCAACAGCTGGTCTCATGCAACCTGGAATATGTTGCTCTACTTCTAGAAGTATTTTTGATGAGTTATCCAAAACTTGTGTGTAATTTTAACCATTGGTCATTCTCCATACAAGTCCAATCTGTAAAATGGGCAAAAATTGGTCCAGAACTCCAGTTCTGAATAGTTCAAATTAGAGCTTTTAAAGTATATCAAAGAAATAACCTTTTATAAACAAGATCCTTGCATAAGATAGTTGACATTAGTAAACCCTAAACCAAAACTGAGCTGTAAGTATTTAAGTTACAAAGTATAAAGTAGTACATTTAATACATGTAATACAGTTACTCTTTCTAGAATGCAATAATTGGATAAAAATTACTTTATTTTTAACTGAGATCTTTCCATATCACCTGTTGAAAGGGCAGAAAATTCAAATAAAATACTATCTTTCTAAGAGAAATATTCTCCTTACAATTAATGGGATGTACACAGGAGAGACTTTTGGAACTAGGGTGGAAATTGAGTATGCCCTGGATGTCCACAGGTACACTAGAACATCATCACTTTCAGCAAGAAAGGCTTCTTTTAAAATGAAATAAAGCCATATTCTTTTTTAGTTATAGCCCTCAGTTTTGACTATGCTTTAGTCCTTGCTCATGAATCTCACGGGTGTTAACAATGCTGCAAACCTCTGGAGCCTTTTCTGTCTTTTTAATGCAGTATAACTATGCTAAATTGTTTCCTCTGAACCCACAGAGCAATTCCTGGATTGTTAAGGACAGCTGGCTTTTTTAATGTCATTTGTCTCATAGTATCAAAGTTGCCTGTGCTGTAGAATTACTCATCTGCATTGTTTGCCTTTGGCAGTCAGGGCAAGTTGTTTGCTCAGCCTGTGTGAGGGCAGTGCAATTATCTGACTTCATGCACTTGACCACTCATCTTCCTAAGGCTTGGATGCTGAAACTGAAAAAATTGAAAATGCTACTAAAAGGATTTATGGAAAATATTCTGGTTTGTTCCTTGTAAAATTTCTGAGAGACAACTCTTACCTTACTTGGATGAGTGAAAAAGGGAGGGTGCATTTTCTGTATAGGAAATTTAATTTCAGATCCTCCTCACCTGGCTGGCACAAACCAGAGCATTAAGGTTTGCCTTTACTGGTGTGGTGACCAGCACTGTCCACTAAGTAAAGCAGCTTTGTGAATCAGAAGAATTCTCTGAAAAAAACAGTAAGTACACTTTCTGTAGTCAATAACAAGGCTTCAGCCAGGATCCCTTGTGTTTGAAACGTAGTAGGAAAACCCCTTTCCTGGTGTGACAACAGAAATGCTCTGCAACTATTAGAAAGAAGGCAGCCATGTTCATGAGCCTCTGCAAAAGACTGTTTATACTTTCTGATGCTTAAATTGTTTGGAGAGGAAATAGTTTTCTAATGTTTACAAACAGGAAGAAACTGTCCACAGTTAAATATTTTGTACTTTGCTTATAACTGTCAGAACAGTTTATTTACATACCTGGTCAACTGCAATAAATGGCTGCTTCACTTGTTTTTGGTCTGTAAAATATTTTCTTTTTGTAAAAAGATCTTGTTCAGATCTCTTCCATAGTTCATATAGGAAGGTTCTCACCATTAGAAGTACTTGGCAAATCAGTTCCCAGTTTATAGTGTTTGTCTCACACTGACATTGACTCGGTTAGATCAATGTATACCTTGCTTCAAGTTAAAGTCACCTTTTTGCAGTCTTGTCTGAACAGCAAAGCCTGATAGAGTTAATGCTATCTAGTAAAAGCTCATTAGGTTTTCCCTGTTCTTAGTATATTCATCTTTTGAAGGCAAAAAAAGGAGATTGCTGTCTTGACAGCCTAACACCATGGCTGATGTGCTGGAAGATGTGCTGAGCCAAAGGTGAGGAAAAACCCCAGTGACAAAGGAAGAAGTAATGTGCCAGTGAGTGTTTGCTTACAGCCTGTGTGACATGCAGTCAGAAACGTGATTATTCTGTGTCTAGAGGGCCTTGTCTAGGCATGCCATATTTTCACTGTGGAACCACCATGTCCTGATTTGGAGTGTGTAAATCTGAGGTCTGACTTGCAAGTTCCTAACAAGTATTTCATTTCTCTGCTTTGGAAAGAAAGACAACCTGAGTTGAGCACACCTTGGAGCAGAGAGGGGGGAGCACCCAAGGGTCTGTTGGAGACAGTTGCTGTGTTCTCAGACAACATGAAAAAAGAGAATAACTTGTCAAAATATAGTGGTATGGATAAAGAAACAGTTTAATTTTATCCTTTTTTTTACAATATAATTCAAAGACAGTCTCAGTTTCCCTATGATGTAAAGTCTAAATTAAACCTGTTAATATTTATTAGACAAATCAATGGTTTGCTTAGGCTAACTGAAGTTTTATGGTACCATCCAGGCACATGTGTGTACACAGTACTCATGTAAACAATAGCAAGGGAAAATACAAGCAGTGTCTCACTTAGGCTTTATATAAAATCAGCTTAGTATAGCAAGTCACTTTTACAGTGCAAATCTGAATGAGAATAAACAGGATTCAAACTTCCAGAGTTTTGTTTTGAAGTTAAACTCTTAAAGCATAAGAGGAAGAGGTTTAAAATTTTAATGCAGTCCTGAGCACCACATCATTTTCTTCAATTTTGTAGAGGAAATGTAATTAGCAACACCAGTCCCATGTTTTTGCCTGTCCCAGTCACCACGGCCAATATACACATGCAGAGTGACTGTACAAAGGAGCCACACATGGATGGTCCTAGAGCAGACAGCAATGAGCTAAATACATTTTACTACCTCCAGAAAACATCCTCTTACCTGCAGTACAAACTCCAAGGTCTCTATAAAATCAAGTAACCTGGTCTATACAAGGCAAGTTACAGCTAAGTGTATAGACAGTAACTAAAGCTACTTCACTCTGACAACATCTCATGCAATTACCCTGCTGACAGTTAAATACAACGATAAACATGAGACAAGAAGCTGCTGAAGAACACAGCTGTTGAAGTACTTAAGCTTAGTCTCTCAATTTTCTCATTGTTCATATTCCCTTTACATCCAGGTGATAACAGTTGCTTGAGGTGTGCTTGATTCATATAAAGAAAAATAGAATTTAAGGCATGTTTAGTGTATTATGAAAAAACACTTAGTAAAAATATGTGGACTCCCTTCTTTCCATGTAAATGTAATGTAGAAAACAAAGTGTAAATTACTGAAACTAGCTGAGCTAGCCCATTGTGAACTGCTGAAAGAAATAAAGAGGGCTCCTGTCAACCTCAGAGAAACAAGCTAACTTCTTAAACAGCAAAGCAAAATTCATTCAAGAACACTGCTACTGCTTTTAGACCCTGCATTCATGTACAC